GGGTGTGTGGGTGTGTGGGTGTGTGGGTGTGGGTGTGGGGTGGGTGCGGATGTGAATATTCTTTACTTTATCAACCCATACCACACCCACACCCACACCCTCACACCCACACATACACCCCACATGCACCCTTCTGGAATACCTCTTACATGTCAATAATATACAATCGAAATTATTAAAATAGTTTGTTTCATCAAGAACAAAATTTGATATTGTTAGGACATGATTTTATTTGTTTCTATGACAATTGAGATATCAAAAGTTAGAAGAAAAAATCGATATCGTGAATAAATCACATTAATTTATTTTTTTTTTTATAACATATTTTACAATTAAATATTCACATATGTATATGAACACTTGACAAACACTTAACTAATAATTAAATTTAAAAGCAAATTCAAATCAAACAATACGCAGACCATAAAGACGTTTATTTAAAAAGGTATAGATTTCTTGAAATTTTGGTCGTTCATTATAAGGACGCCAACATTCAAGCATTAAATCAATCAATTCTTTACTTAAACATTCTGGTTTAGATAAATGTAAATCTTTAGCTAATTTTAATCTTTGATAAACTTGTTCATCATTTAATAAACCATAAGGTAATGTTATACAATTTGTCATTACTTCCCAAAGTGTTATACCAAACGACCATACATCCGATTGAGATGTAAAATCATTCTATAGAAAATTTTCTTTTAAATTAAATTAATTCTGTATTTATTATTTAACTTACATTTGAAATACATTCAGGTGCCATCCATCGAATAGGTAATTGAATATGATTAATTTTATAATAATGTAATTGAAATTGTTCAGATGCCACAGCTGAATTTGTTAATTTAATTTTATAATTTGGAAAAATTAAACAATTTCGTGCAGCTATATCACGATGTATTATATGACGAGATTCAAGATAAAAAAGAGCATTTGATAATTGAGTCATAAAATGAAGACGAATATTTTTTCTTAATAATAACAAAAGAAAATTTCAATAGTTAATTTGCTTAAGAAAAAAAAATAAAATTTACGAAATATTTGTTGATGTTAATAAATATGTATAAAGATCATTTAAATCACTATGTTCAACAAGAGCATAATTTTGTTCAATTGTATAACCATAAAATTGAACTAAATTTGGATGATTAAGATCATTAAGTAATAAATGTTCTTTATCAAATAATTCTCTAGAAAACAAACAAAACACAATCAAATTTTAACATAAGCAAATTATAAAATTATTTTTACTTTTGATTTATATCATTAGTTGTTAAAATTTTAATAAGAATTCGTTTAAGATTATCATTTGAATGATGAAGATAAAGATAACCTTGAAAAATCTATTTAAAATCAAAGATTTAAAATAGATTTTGACAAAATAAATATCCTCACCGTTCCAAAACATCCATTTATTGTTGAATAAGGTTGTTCAACAATTAGTTCTTTATTATTTACACGTGGTACAAACATTGTCGATTGAGAATCATTTAATGAAAGCAAAGATTCATATGTACTATTACCACATGGACCTTGAATATTTTTTATTGTATTCTCTATACTGATTGGTAATGTATCAGATACGGAACTGGTGTATATATCAATCGAAGAGTAGGGATTTGTCGTCTAAATCATCAATTAAACAAATTTCAAATTGATCAAAAGAAGAAAAAAAATCCACGAGAAATTATATGTAGCTCTAGTTGATTTTGGCTTTTAACATTAGGACTATCCTGAAAGAATTCCAAAGTTTTTACTCTCGGCATTATTTATTTCTTTTTTTCTAATGAAACTGAAGTTTTATTTGTGAGATAAAAAAATAAAACTAACCAAAGTCGGTGTCTCATTTGATACAGCAGTTAAGTATGGATCAATAGTATTTGATTGATAAATAGTTGACATTGTTGCTGGACTAAAATCTGAATTATTTGTACTTCTCGATGAATTCGTTGTTGAAATAATTAAATGATGACGAATATCATTATCTGACATTGATGATATACATGAAGTATTTCTATTATTAATACAAGAACCCATTCGTGGAATCGTTCGATAAGTTGAACCGAATTTCAAATGATTTGTTACACTAAAAGATTTTATATAGTAGTAAATAAAGGTTTTCATAAGACTAATGTAAATAAGTAGTACTACCAATTATCTCCTGATCGAAATTGATATTCATTCCTTCAGTGTTGATAATCATAAAGTCGAACATTTATAGAACCTAAAGCTCAGTCATACGTACAACAGCTGTTCATCACAACAGAAGCACTATAGATCAGACAGCTAAAGACTGAAAACAAATGATCTTATGAAATAAGACTTCTATTAACCTGAAATTCACTAGGAAGAAAAAAGAATGAAAGGTGTTAAGCATCCTATCAAAGTTAATATTTAGGATTGCTTACGTGGGTTCTTGATAACAATACGGAAACTATTTAGTCTCGATTAGATGTTGTGGAAACTGTAAAAAGGCAACAATTCTACAAGAAAATGAAAGCTTTTTGGTCTAACTTTTTTCAATTCCCGTAATTCCTTTTATTCCCTAAGTTTTATGAATGAACCAAAAAAAAAGTAAAAGAATTATAGAGTCTGAAGAAAGATAGACTAGGAAACGTTCAATGCCTTGTAGACTTTTCATATAAATACAAAAATTTACTTGCGAAATTTGGTTTGTTGTTCATATGTTTGAGTCCAACGAATATAGGTATATATTAATGAAACTATGAAAAGAATGACAAAACTTAATGCAAATATTAACCAAAACCAATAATGAACATTTGAAACATCATTATCTATAGAAAAATATTAAATATTGAAAATTAATTATATTTGATAACATTTCATACCTATTAAAGTTGGTAGATGATTATTAATTTCTGTTATTGTTATTACTTTTGGAGTATTGATATTTATTGGGATAGAATCAAATTTAACTTCACTAATTAATATCCATTTACTTCTATTATTAAATGTTAATATTACATTTAAACAATTACTTATAAGAAAAGTTTTTTTATCAATAAAAGAAATATAAATAAATCTTGCACTAGTATTCATATGATCATTTGATATCATCAAAAATATTTGATGATTATTTTTAGTATTTCTATGATCGCAATTTTTGATTGTTATTGAATGAAATAAATATATATCACGTGTAAATAAATTAGATGTATGAATACGAATTGATGTAAAATTTCGAATAGTATCAAAATTAAAAACAAGATTTACATATGATGTTAACGATGATTTTCTTTTCCAACCAATCCAATCATAACCAATTTGACTTATACCTTGAACGTTATCCATTAAACGATAATCATCATGAGCTAAAATTCCATCAGTTAATTGACCAAGACCATCTAAAAAAATAAAACAATACTTGTTAGTATCTGTAAATCTTGACTAAACAAATTATGTTGACAAACTAACTAAATGATTAGAATAGAATTGTAGATATTTTATTCGAAGATATATTACTTCAATCGAGAATAACTTGAATTTGACAATATTGCTAGTAGTTTTATAAACTGGTTAATCGCGCTTATATAATATTATTAGAGATGATGAGACATGGATATATAATAGACAGATTGGGTGCAAGTCAACTGACATGAGCTGGATTAGTGAAGGTGAACCAGAGATGGACAAAAGCGCACCGCGCCACTGCTCACGCCTGGGCGCTACGCACATCTCTCTTTCTCTTTGCTCTACCAATCAGTTTCTCAAACTCCACCGAATACCGGAATGCTCTAAGCATGCGCTCATCGAAACTCAGACTAGTGTAGCGTAGGCGTGAGCAGCGGCGCGGGGAGGCGCGGTGCGATTTTGTCCATCTATGAGATGAACCATCAACAATTGTTGTTCGTCATAATAAATTTCCATTCAAAACTTTGTTTTCTTTATTCTTTAAATCAAATAATATTAATCTTATAGTGTACATAAAAATAAAATTATAGATCATAACTTTTATATTAAAAGTTGTCTCAATTCTGTTATTAATGAAATATGAAAACAAAGAAAGTCATCAGGTAAAAACGATATAGGATTACTTGATGACAATGTTCGACCTAATACTCATACAGATGATATTAATTCTTTAACACCAAAAGAAGTTAATATAATAGCGCATTTGTCATTTTCATCAGGCCTTGCAAAACGTGATTTTTTAGGTAAATGATTATGTCAAGCATAATTTAACTGACTATGTTCTTTCGATTTCCAAGATATTTAAAAAGGAACAAGATTTTTTGAATATTTAACGAAAATAAAATAAAATTCTTTCTTTCAATATTTCAGATTGATCGAATCATTTTTTATATTAAAAAAGAAGTATTCATCTAATTAAAACTGCTCATAATGGAAACAAATGTGTAACAAGAGATCCAATACAGAATTTTCTTTATGAATTTTATCGTTTCTCTGTATTTTATTTTATAATGTATATCGTTATGAATCATGCTTTTGAAACAAATGAATAGAAGCTAACCTTTCAATGTTCCATTTTCATTTTGTCCATCATATGTTTCATCAAAAAATTGTACATCATAACCACGTTTATCACCTTGCGGCATTGAATAAGATATCAATCCATCTAAAATAATAATAAATTTAATTTACTTCTAACATAAAATCTGTCAGACCTTCATAAGAACAACCATAGAGTTCCAAACGCATACAAATATATTTTGATAAGGGTCCAGTAACAATTGGTATAATACGAATTTGTCGTGCAATAATTGATGGAAGTAAATCACGCATTGTTGGTATATAACTATTTGAATTTCCACTTAAAATCTATAAGTTTTTATTTTTCTAAAATAAATTCCATTTGAAATAAATATTATTCTTACATATTGTCCAGAGAAATATTTATATTTAATCCATTTTTGTTCGTTTTCTCGTTTGTATTCAATGCGAAATGAATCAGCAAATTGTTCATTCTTAAGATAAAATTAGAAAAAGAAAAAAAAAAAATTTTCTTTGTTTCTTTTTGTTTTTCTTACTGGTTTTAAACTAAATTTTCCTTGAAGTTCAATAAGTGTAATAACAGTTAAATTAACTAAATCAATTTGTATATATTCATATGTTGTTGATGATATTTGATTTAATGGACACCATCCATCTGTTTCACTTCGAATTCTATTTTAGCATAAAAATTTCATATTTTTTTTTTTTAAATAATAAAATTGAATCATCTTACCTTGCTTTAGATGCTATTGTACTTTCTCGAGCATGACTACTTGATGAAAAAGCTGAATCTAATATTTTTCCGGTTTCAATACCCAATGGATATCGACATGTTTCTTAAATTCAAATTCGAGAATTATTTTCTTTTTAATTGAATTAGTATAATTACCTAGATCGAATTGTTTCGTATTTGAAATCGTAATTAATAATAAAAATAAACAAATAATTTTATCCATTATCTAAAAGAAAAAAAGATTAAAATGATAAATTTTTATTTTTATAATTATCAAATAATCTCAAATCAGCATAATATCTAATAACAAATTGACAAAGAACAATGTAAACATCGATAAGTGAAAGTGTCATACCCGTATGGACAGATCATCAGTGATATTTTTTATGATTAGAAATATATATATATATATATAACAGTCGAAAAAATGATTTATTCAATCGTAAAATAAAATTACAGACATACTTTCGATTTTTATTTTCTTTTAATTTGATCGCTCGATTGATGATCAGTCGAATATAAGTGTATATTGTAGATCGTATTTGTACACGACATGAAGAGTCCGCTTACTGTTTCGCATGATTAAACCATATATAAGATTACATATTATATACAAAGATGACATAAACATTCTCTCCGTAGGTATGAGTAATTTAATTGAATTAGCGATTATTGACCATACCATACATGTTGTGTCATCTCATCTATTTCTTCTCTTGTTTTTCGATGACATATCATCGCCTGTCAGATCGACATTTTAATGCATGATAACAGGAATGAATGCTACTAAATCTTGTTCAGATCATACAAATTTATTTTATGCTCGTGCATATACACTATCATCAAGCAAGATAGAGATCACAATCGAATAATAATGTGTATTGAATGACGATGAGGATACGATGAACAATGAATGATCAAAAACCTACGGAGAAGAGAGAAGGGAGGAGGCGACAGTTGTGAACACATTTATACAAAAGATAAATCAAACACGCGATGTATAGGTGTCTCGATAAAAATTAATCATTCGAATGATATATCGACAGTTACAATTTTCGTATTATGAAATGATAGATAAACATCAGTATATGTGTCTCTTATTTTGAAACTTCAAATCATACATAGTTTATTTTTCTACTTCAATGCTTCAGTGGTCTCTTTGATTTCTTTTTTTTTTTTATCAATTTTAATTCATTTCAGTTCAATAATTTATCAATCTTATGGTCAGAATATCTTTTGAAATTTGTAAAGAAAATAGTCTCACCATAGTCAATATGTGTACATCTGCTGATGTGTTGCATACATGTCGATAAAGTGTGTACAAATCACACAATTGCTAATCTTTTTCAATGGAAATCATTTTGATGACGACCTCAAAGAAAAAAGACTGTTACAGTTTTATTTCAATATGACACGCAATTTTCTTTTTCAAAATGTAATCATTGGTCAACCGGAAATCCAGTTCATTAGATAATTCTCTCGTTTTTTTTTCCTGCTCTAATAACTAAGCAATGATCATTTTCATTAGCAACAAAATGTCAGACAGTTGTTTCCCTTTTAAAACAAAAAAAAAAGAATAACTTTTTTTTCGGTTGAACTTACTTAACGAACTGTACTTGTCAATTGTTCATTCGATTTTTTCAAATGTTATAAAGTTTATAAACGAAATTTAACAGAAAACAAAGAAAAAGGTATATCAAACTCGTTGATCAGTAGAAAAAAAGAAAGATACAACATCGGATGTTCTTCCAAGCGCATAATGGGTATAGTGATGATGAAGAGAAAGGAAAAAGCGAAAATTACTTTTCTTTTCCTCCTCTCTCTCGCTCTCTCTCTCTTACTTTTGTCTTTTATTCATATATAATAATGACGCTTATGTACGATAGATGATTAAAGATGCAAAATCCCGGAGGAAACATTGAGGTGAGAATCATTAGTTCACCACCTTTCCTGGCTGCTGGTATTCTTACTAGTTATAGACACGTATTAATGATTACAAAATCGATGTAAGATAGGTGTTTGTGATTAAAAAAAAAAGGAGAGAGATAGAGAGAATGAATGCCCCAGGCGACCCGACAAGTTGCTTGATTAAAGTAAAAAGAGAAAGTACTATTTGAAACAGAGACACACAGTCCATATTTCCGACTCAGTTATCTCATTGAAATAACATGCACATTATTATCTTTGAATATGGTCTTTCCACATTCAACTGTTGCCTACGATCATTAATAGATTTACTAGATGGTACAAGTCTCATCATATCTTCATTTTTAGATGTTATTTGTCGGTATGTTTGTGATCATTACTGCGCCAGTCGTATTGCCTTGATATTCATTTAGTTGTAAAGAAATGTATACAAATTTAAAATCAAATGATACTCGAACTGACTTGCAGCAGAGGAAAAGATCATTATTATTGTATATGTATGTATGCTAATTTTGCCTACTTGGTTTTGTTAGACTACCGTAACGAATTGTACATGTCTGTATACTTGTCTAGTTGATCTTTAAAGGTTAAAAGAAGTGGATCTTTTATTTTTTTTTGTAATGGACAAATACAATAAAACAACTGATAATTAAAACAAAATTCTTTTCTTTTATTCATTTTCAATGACAGAATAATAAGGTGTTTCGAATGTTCAATAGTATAATATGAATAATGCCGATAGGCAATATTACGTTATGACATGATGTAATAGAAATTGAATGTGAAAGGTAATATATTCGCATAGTCACTCAATTAAATTTATGTTAGAAATCAACAAGTATGATAATAATAAGACAACTATGACTATGTAGTAAATGTTTGCTTGATTATAGCATTAATTCCAAGAAGAAAAAAAATTTGCTAGAATATGGCATAATTACCTATCTATATTTTTCCATAACGTTTCTATATTGTTTTTATAACATACAATAAGTCTTTCAAAGATTTGTGTCAATTAAACGTGCATAATTAATATATGCAAAAAAAAAAAATTCACTTTGTTCAATATATGAATAAGGTAATGTTACCATTTGTTAGAAAATGTCATTAAAGTGATCGATATGTGCTCTGGTTTGATAAAATTAAGATAGATCATTAAAATTTCTTCATGTTAAACTTTCATCATCTAACTATTCATATAGAGACTATGTATACTGAATCATCGATGTAAATATTTACAATAGATATCTTTTTCTTACTAAGTTTTATGTTAGAAGATCAAAAAAAGTCCTTGCTACTTGAAAAAGGTATTCCATTAATCTATTTATAGAATATGTTTGATAAGAAACTTCATATTATCATGTTTAACAAACGGTATAGAATAAATATATCTGCGTATTACAATATTTAAATTGTTGTATTTGAATATATGTCTCGTCTATTTTAATTTTGGCTGCACCATAAATTTAAATTTTCATACTTTAAGACATTTAATAGTAATAATCTTTTGCATGATATTCACGTGGCAAACACTGTTGATTTTTATGTTAATATTCATTTAAAACACTTAAGAGGACTTTTTTTCTTGTATTGATAATGATTTTGACTATGATTCTGATTTCATATGAAGATAGTGAATGTACACTTCATAGTCATTGATAATATCAAATTACAGACGTACGCAGCTGCTGAATGCATAGGATCTAATGTAGCCACGAACTGAAGCGAGGAAGACAACCAATTAAGGTTGTCACAGCTTCTTTATTTTGGAACATAATGATACACTTAGTTGATTAATTTTTTTCAAGTTCTTTTTATTGAATAAGAACAAACTTGAATGAACGTTGAATTGTTTTGTCATTGATCATAGAATGTTATCTAACTGTGCGTGTATGTTAATTAAACATTAATTTCAATTATTGTTCGGACTTTATCAATCGTCTTGTTGTTGACCATGACGGACAACCGATTAACATGAATTACAACTTCGATTGAAGAGTATTTTCATTGAAACACAAAACAACAGATTGAGAATGTTAAACTTTCATGTCTATACTAAAGGGAAATAATTCTCCTTTCATGCTAGATCGCTCTACCTTTGAAATATTGAGCATACAAAATCGGTAATTTTGAAAAAATGAAAAAAAAAATATTTTTAGAAATTAAATTTTTTCTACTTACACTCAATATAGATCGTTCGGAATTTCTGTGTTATATAGATCGATGAAGATGTCCACTAGTGAGTTAGATATGTTTCGAAAGCACTAAGACCTACGATTGTCCATGAAGTTATTATTGGGTCACCGGAGGGTAATCCAGAACAATGTTAATATATTATACGTTATAAATCTTGACTTATAGGAAGTTGAAATAGTATTCATTGTGATTTCAATATCTTCGCAGGTGATAAAATGGCTTCAAGTAAAATAGATTTTCGTCTAGCAAGATATGTCAGTCGTTAAATCCCCTTTCTTTATCACAACACGTTCATTGGACTAATCAAATGGTCCTATATAACGATATGAATATTTGATGGAGCAGACAATATCATTAGCACATCAAAAAGACTAATACTCTATTTATAAAGTTATTTTATTAGTAGATGTGGGGGGTGCGCGTGTGTGTGATTCTTATTTCCACCCACATCCTAATGAGAAGGCTTTTGTTATAATTATTCTTGCGTCATATAATTTCTTGACAGTGTCACAGAACACGTCTTAACTGAAATGTTTGTTAAAGAATGACATAATCTTTCTCTTTTTGCCGATATTGGACTTGGGCGACATAGCACAGCGGATAGCTTCGTCGAAGACAGCATTTATTTCTTCTGGAGAAATGGCTGAACATTCAAGATAATTGTAGGCACCAATCGTTTTGCTGAGTAATTCGCCTTCTGCTTGTTGGACAAGAGTCTCTTTACAATTTTTCAGTTTTCCGATTGTAATTTCATCTTTATGCTATTTCTAGCGGGTGTTGTTTTCTCGTGTGAGTGTGGATATTGATAAAGAAATATATGTACATTTGCAACCTCTCACCCAACATCTACTCAGGTCGATGGCAGACAAATGATAGCCGTTAGAGAGAAGAGACATTTGTTATAATTCTATAGATTCGTTGGGAGATTTTTATGAATTCAACAAATGTAATCATATCTACTTTTCTTTATTTTGGAAGAATATTTAATTGAATTCATCTGAAAAGTTGATCTTTTTTACAACTAAAATACAGATGTGTGATATTAAATCAATTTTTCAATTTGAATAAATCGTCGAAAAGTAATAAATAATTTTAAAAACTCTTAGATCAAAATATGCATGAACATGAATGCTCTCTATTGGAAATTAATGTTGAATTGACAACAATTCTTTGCAAATCATCTTCTTACTGAAATTTCATTTGAGCTATTCGATATTGATCAACTATGGCAGTAAATATTCGTGGGTAAGATATTTTTTACAGATGCTTCTTACTCTCAAACTGTTCGAAAGATTGAAATCTTGTCAAGATGAGACATTTAATGATTTTTTGTTATGGAACATATCTTTTGACTAACATTTCACTCAATCCAGTTGTTCGGATGACATGTGAGAAGAAATATTTCTTTTTCCTTGTTTGAACCTTAAGTATCGAATCATATGTCTCATCATCAATGAATCCTGTTTTGGGAGTGTGGATTTGCTGATATTTTCGTCACCTACCTGCACATCCACACCCACACCAGATCATATTGAGCTTTACCATAGCATATTTGACTGTTCACTCAAGCTATCGACATAGAAAATGAATGACGCGACATGTAAAAAGAAACGATGGTCATACCTGTGAGGCTTAAAAGAAAGACTGTTCAGCATTAGATGAATTGGAAAATAATAGGCTTTAGAATTACCTGAATAGAATAAACACAAAGCAACGAATTACTGTTAAGACTATCACCTGCATTAAAATGAGACAGAATAATAGTAATTCCCATCTTTATATCTAATGAAGAGATAATGTTTTTTCGTATTCACAGAAAGTTAAGAAGCGCATGACGTGTTCTTTCGATAAATGCAAAAGCGATAATGCTCCATCGGTTTTGTAAGTAATTATTTTTTTTTCTCTAAAAAGCAATCTTTATAGAAGAAAAAAAGCACGATAAGAGCAATACGCAATCGCTTTTGCGATACAAGCATTCAATAGACTAGTGTTATCACTCTAAACATGAATATCACAGTTGTCAGTCATTGACTCATTTATGTAACGACGACTTTGAACAACTTCAAGGACAAATTTTGTTTTTAATATTTGTTCTTCTTTTATAAACAGCTTACAGAAGTTCGCATCTTGATCAAATCACAGTTACAATCTATGGTCAGCCACATTTATACTTTGGACTGTGCCTTAATTGCACCTCAAGAATTCATTTATTCTATTTTCATCTCCAAATCTCATTTCTTACATAAACATGTCCAGTTTAAGGTAAAGTTCTTCTTTTGTATGTAATGGCATAGATACAAGTAGGACAAAACCTGGCATTACCGATGAGTGAGTGTGGGTAAGTCATTCCCTTTGAGATCCCTCGTGTAGGTCTTTTTTCTTTGAAGTCTCAGATATATGTAACGTGTATATGAGTGTACCTCTTGTGTGCATAGTCTTCATGCCACTACGGTTCCATCAGGTGATTTCTAGTTGCGCACGTACGAGTAGAACAACTATTTCATTTTTATTCAGCATGGTCTATTTGATTGCAAGAATAAAACAGAACATTAACCATTCTAATTAGTGCCTTCGATAGAAAAACGTTGTACTCGATGATTCCCATTATCGAAGACATAGAGATTACCATGTCGATCGAAAGACAAACTCGCGGGACCCCACAACTCATTAGCTCCTTGTCCTATACCATTACCGCCTGCAATGACAGTGCCCTGTCTTGCTCCTTCAGGCCAACGCATCACTCGATTATTCCTTGCATCGACTACATAGATGGTACCTAAAGTATCGACAAATAGTCCTTGAGGATACGACAATTGTCTTAGAGCGTTCCCTTCACCATGATCACCGGCGACAACAACTCCTTCTGTCGCACCTTTTTCCCATTTCATCACACGATGATTTTCACTATCTGACACATAAACAGTTTTTTGTCGGTCGACAAAGAGATATGTTGGTTGGTAGAATTGATTGAGACCATCTCCTTTGCCATGGCCACCAGCTACTACAGTTCCATTCTTGTCTCCTATTTCATATCGTATCACTGCATGCTTGAGGGTGTCAGAAATGTAGAGACATTTCTGATCATCCATAGCCAACCCGTGACAAAAGATGCGGTCAAGGAGGACTTTTCCTTGAGTTGTGCCATTACGACGAGACCATTGTACGAGTCGTCTATTCCATTCATCGCAGATAATGAGACTATCTGTATCATTGTCGATCAACACATCGGTTGGAAAACTCAATTGATCCAATCGATTTCCTTGGCCATTGCCACCAGCTATCACTTGTCCTTTTGTATCATCCACCTTCCATTGGATGATACGATGATTGTCCCAATCAGCCATGAGCATTGTTTGATCATCATCAGTGAGAAAACCTTTCGGATGATCCAGTTGATAAGTAGCATTACCTCTTCCACGACCACCAGCAACAGTCACTCCGTCCTGTGCCCATCGGGCATTGACTGGAATATTGGGAATCACTGCAATGAGCGATAAAAAGAAAAATTAATTATCATCTTTGTTGGAGAGATCCTCTTCATCACGAAGAAAAGTACTACAAAAGGCATATTCTTGTTCGTCTTGAAAAGAATTTGGTAAAACTTCTGAGAATGTTCATTTTCTTTAACATACTCACGAGATAATTATTCCATCTTTTTGGCTACAAGTAGGTTCCAGTGAGACTAAGAAAATCCTAAAAATGTTCATGCCCAATGACCCTTCCCTCCGAAGACATGGTCATATGTATGTCAAAAGAAATTGGCTTTTTATGATTTTTCAAAATATCGTTTATTTTTTATCCTTTTGACTCGAAAGATAATTATTTTTGCAGTTGATCCTATTATGATTCGGTTTTCAGAATTAATGTCTATTGAATACTCTTTTGGAACTAAGAAGGGTGTGGATCTACCACTCGCTCATATCCACACCCATAAAACGAATCATACTTCGATAATGACAAAAAATAGCCAACATGAAAACTACTGTTACTTGATTTTTACTTATGATATAGAATCGATGATCTTATCAATATAACCTTCAGCTAGCTGCAGATTAATTATTGCACACAAAACAAGTATATATACTTGATTAAGAATTAGTATTTACCAAGATTAAAGAGAACTAATCTAAAGTTTACCTGACTGCTGAGTAGTGGTTGTAGCTGTCGTGGGAGCTGTAGTTGTAGTTGTGGTTGTCGTTTGGGTTGTAGTTGTAGTGTTCGTTGCTATTGATTATTACAGAACATTTGTGTAAACAAAACAGATAATTATAGGCCTGACATAGAATGTAACATAGAAGTCGATGAACTTAGGTTTTGGGCGAAACCAAAGGAGTGTTTCGAAGTAGAATGATGATCTCAAATGATCTAAGGAAAAATGTGTTCCTTTCAATACTGATTTTTGTTGGAACATTTCTGTGTTGATCAGAGACCAAAAAACAGAGTAAAACTTTCGGTGATTCGATTCCATGTGATTCTGCTGAATCGAATTGAATTGAACCGAGTCCAACAAGATCGTTCTGCTCAAATTTATCACTTCTATAGTATTTTGTTGATCCCTCATATAAATTGTCCATCTGCCAGCGTGTCAGTCTCAAGTCTTCAGAATATTTTGTCATTGAATCGGTAGCATGAGTGAAATGAATTTAAAGAATTATTCGAAAGAACACAATAATAGTGTAAAGATAAATTTTTATAAGCTTTCTCTTGTTCCTCTCGTCGTCAAGCAGTTTGAATGTTTACATTCTTCTCTTAAGAAAGAAATCTCCAATGTTTGATAGACGCAGGCATAGCCTCCAAAAATAAGTAGTCGTATCAGAGGCAGATGAGCCAATGTTACTGCAAACTTTAAGAGCTTCAGCAGTTACTGTGTCAGATATAAATGATCAACCTTCAATTTTGCGCGTTTAGTCATTAGAAACACGACAGAGAGAATCATTAATGTGTTTTCTTTTGCATTAGCTGTCAATGGCAGTTGTTTTGAAAACAGGCTGCCAAATGCACTCAATATTCGCAGCAATCAGTTGAGTATATAGCGAAAACTGTGAATAAAGAGAAACGTGTCACAATAGAATTGATGGTCAGTCTCTGATTTACATTCAAAAGTTCACTGCATCTCCATGTATTGATAGATATAAATGAAACAGGCTCTATATTTCGAATTAATGAAGATGTTTCATGAGAAAAAAAGAAACCTTTTCTCCAATAATTGCAATTCATTTTATCTCTGCCATGCTTTATCTACTTTTTTCAATGATTCTTCTAATCTTCTCTTCTTTCCTGTGCTAACATGAATTACATATGTGAGTATGTGTAAATGATGAAGAAATAACTTTAAAAAAGATTTGTGTTTCATTTAACTCAATGGATCATCGTTTGTTTTCTTACTTGCTTTTGGCGGACAGAGTTGTCGATTGAAACTCGGCACCGGATAACAAACAGGAAGATTATGACATCGAGGATGGTGAACACATCTATGGCCAGGTTCGAGACAAAGATTGTTTGAGCGTTCACATGCGACTAGCTCAGAGCAATCGATGAATTCATCACTACAAATGCCAATATTAATAGCACCTGCTATATAGAAACAGGCACACGCACTATTTGGCGAACATCGATCATATTGTGACATTCCATGGCACAATTGAGATTTCACTTGAACTAGCGACATACTAAATTAATAGCGCGACATGTAAAACAAAACAAAAATCAAACCTGTAAAGCTTAAAAAAAAAAGATTGTGTTCAACGTTAGATGAATAGGAGAAAAATAGATTTTAGATTTACCTAAATAGAACGAATACAAAACAATGAATTACTGTTGGGACCATCGCTTAAATTGAAATGAAACAGAATAGCGGCACTACTCACTTTTATATCTAATGAATAGGTAATTTTTTTCCCATTCACTGAAAGTTAAGAAACACATGACGTGATCTTTCAATAAATGGAAATTCGATATTGCTCCAACGCTTATCTAAGTACTTAGTATTTTTTCAAAAAAAGTAATCTTTATTAAAGAAAAAAAAGTGTCATAAAAGCAACACGGGATGGTTTTTGCAATGCAAGCATTCAATAGCCTTGTGTTATCATTAAAAACATCAATATTATCATTGTCAATCATTGATTTACTCTGTAACGATGACTTAGAACAATTTCAAGGACAAATTTTGTTTTTAATATTTGTTCTTCTTTTATAAGCAGCGTGCAAAAGTTTTGCATCTTGATTAAATCAAAGTTAAAAACTATAGCCAGTCACATTTATTTGTAAGTTGGGTTGTGTCTTGGCTGCATATCAAGAATTTATTTGTTCGACTATCATCTCCAAATTTCATTTCTTGCATAAACATGTCCAGTTTAACGAAAAGTTCTTCTTTATAAATAGCAATGTGGATACGAGTAGGCCAATAGCTAGCGTTGTCCTCAAATGAAATAGGTGCATATAGTAGTAAAAGTATTCGATCATTTTGGCTAGATAATGGAACTGTAGTTGATTTTTTTAAATATTATCTCAAGTGGCTCTTTCACGTGACTTTTTTTCAAATACTTCAAGACTTTTATGAAGACTATAAAACAGATTTGTATTTTATTTCCACGATTGAGTATATTTTATAGTTTGTTTCACAAGTTATCAATAAAGAATTAAACGGATTTGATTATCTTTCTGGTTTTATTGTACATATATGTATTTTCCATTAGAAATACTCAAAATAAGAAGAATCTTTACAGGAATGGTTCATATAAATCATTCACGGATCTTATTTAAAAAGCGTATTAAAGCGAAAGCTATTGAGTGTTTTATCGTGGATATTTAGAAAAACTGACTTGACAGTAAGATTTCTCAGAGAAGTTAATAATTTATTTTTATTTCTTTTAGTAGTTCATGCTAATGAAATTGACTTAGCTTTATCTCCATATCTTCGGCGATTATACCACAAAAGAATGACTTCATCACAAGAATCAAGTAATGCTAATCATTTTCTTAGAAAAAGAATTCAATAATTGATTTTTATACTATGTAAATAGAAATTTTGGATAACAAATAAGTTCATAGATAAATAGTGTCTATTTTGTATTTATTTTTGCATGATCAATGTATCATTTCGATTGGAACTAGCCAGTGTTTATTTAAAAAAATAACATATAGACGGAATATTGTTTGATAATAAGAAAGTTTCTTAGTTTTATTCAAATGTATATTTTTGATAAGTGAACAGCATTTTATTGAAAGCGATATCAAAATAATGCCTGATATACTCGAAGTTAGTGTTGGTAGAGAGTTATATCTATGAATAATTTATTATAAGAGAAATGGTCTTGAGAAATTAATAAGAGAATAGTAGAATTTCAAAAATATTTATTGGATGAAACTTTCAATAATCCATTATTTTCCGCTTGATCTTTTTGTATTAAATATCTATTTTTTTCGTAAAATTTTTTAGATCGAGCAGTATCTGGATACTACAGTGAATAGTCGATAGTATGAACTAATAGTGATAATTGTTTGTATATCAATGGAATTTTTTGTTTAATACTTTATTATATAGGATGCGGCACAAGAAGGGTGTGGGTAGGTATGGGATGTGGGTGGATGTCGATGTCGTTCTTGTATTTACCAACACCCACATCCACACCCTTTTTCATGAGCCTTAAGCGAGGTCGAAATCTGGATCGTGGTTTGTTTGATAGACCCTCACAGGTGTTTTTATTTTTATTTCTCTTAGCTTTTAATTTATTCAAGTAAACACTATCAGAAAAATTACAATAAAGAATCCTGGTTTTTATAAATGGGCATTTTCGAAGTACAGGATATACAACAAAGGACGTCGTGTATAGGGACGTTATGTTTTTTTTTTTTTGATTTATTAGTCTAGAGTGCATCTAGTTCATTTGCTTTTATGTAACCAACTAATTTATAACAAATAGCCGTAAAGGTGGGTGTGGATGTGTGGGGTGTGGGCGTGGATACTAGTCCTTTCACACCCACACCACATACCGACTCACACCACGCACCCACCTACACCCAAACTTCACGATAAATCGGTTAATTACACATACCAGGGCATACAAGTAGCCATAGAGCCATTATTGGGTCGCTGAACGGCAATCCAGAACAAAGTTCATGTATTATATATTATACATGTAAATCTCAACTCATCGGAAGTTGAAATAGTATTTCTTAAACATTCAATGTCTTCAGGGGTGATCAAATGGTTCCAGGCAAAATAGATATTTGTTTAACAAGATATGTCAAAAACACATGTATTCTTTTATCGATTCAATTCTTCCTTTTATTCTATTACTACAATAACATGAGATTGATGTTGCTTTTGCATGGGAATAATGGGATCACAGAAAAAAAATCAAGGCTTAGTTTGTCGTTCAATCCCTTTCTCTACCACGCGGTAATTGGACTAATCAAATGGCCCTATATAAAGATATGAACATTTGGTGGAGCAGACAATATCATTAGCACATTAAAAAGACTAATACTCTATTTATAGAGTTATTTTATTAGTAGATGTGGGGGATGCGCGTGTGTGTGATTCTTATTTCCACCCATATCCTAATGAGAAGGCTTTTATTATAATTAATTCTTGTGTCATATAATTTCTTGACAGTGTCACAGAACACGTCTTAAGTGAAATGTTTGTCAAAGAATGACATAATCTTGCTCTTTTTGCCTATATTGGACTTGGACGACATAGCACAGCGGATAGTTTCGTCGAAGACAGCATTTATTTCTTCTGGAGAAATGGCTGAACATTCAAGATACTTGTAGGCACCAATCGTTTTGCTGAGTAATTCGCCTTCTGCTTGTAGGATAGGAGTCTCTTTACATTTTTTCAGTTTTCCGATTGTGATTTCATCTTCTCGTAAATCCAAGTGTGTACCAACTAGAAGGATAGGTGTTTGTGAGCAATGATGTCTCACTTCGGGATACCACCTATGGCGAACATTTTCATATGAAACTCGGGAAATAAGAGAAAAACATATAAGAAAGATGTCCGTCCCCGGATAGGCCAATGGACGAAGACGGTCAAAGTCTTCTGCTCCAGCAGTGTCATGAATGTTCAGATTGAATTCTTTTCCATCGCACATTGTATTCCGAGATTCAGAATCGAAAATAGTGGGAACAGGACCTGGAAATATGCCTCTGGTGTAAAAACCGAAGAGGCATGTTTTACCTACACATCCATCGCCAACGATGACTATTTTAACCATATGCTTCTCTACGGGTACGACTTTGATCGGTTTCAGTGGCTGATCCAGTGAGTGATGGTTCGAGGAAGATGTTGACGTAGATTTGTCGTATCCTTAATAAAGAGAAGTCATATAAAAAAAGAGGTAAATGATTAGTTATGTCATTTTCTCCGAAAAGAAACATGATGTAAGAGACAAATGGTCAAACAATGCTTCGTTCATTTTTGAAGATAGAACAGCAAAGCATAACCATGCATGCACGAGCCAAACAAAGATGTCAATCGTACGTATTGAATGCGTACAACCACAACCTCGATAGCAGTCGAAACGCTTTTATTGTATGCTATTTCTAGCTGACGTTGTTTTCTCGTGTGAGTGTGGATGTTGATAAAGAAATATATGTACATTTGCAACCTCTCACGTACATCTACTCAGGTCGATGATAGACGAATGATAGTCGTTAGACAGAAAAGCAACCGTGTAGTTTTACGAAGTGCTACTAGAGAAAAAATATTCTTACATGGAGAAGTTTTTCGGAAGAGAGTGAGACATTTATTGTGATTCTATAGATTCGCTGGGAGATTTTCATGAATTCATCTGAAAAGTTGATCTTTTTTACAACTAAAATACTGATGTGTGATATTAAATCGATTTTTCAATTTGAATAAATCGTCGAAAAGTAATAAATAATTTTACCAACTGGGAGATCAAATTTTGACTAATGTCTCACTCAACACAGTTGTCACACCCACACCCTATTTTTTTGTTTTTAATTTGGTGAAACGTGGATCATTTATTTAGCTGTGTAACTAAGATTTTGTCACTACGGCAATATTCTGTAATGCTGTATTGGTCACTAAGAACATGAAATTTTCTTATTCATGAAGTAGTAGCGATCTACTTCTGAGGCATAACCATTTATCACTGAGACTTCGTTTCAGCTCAGCTCAATGGTGACCTCCCCACCACATTCCATTCTCCATATGATTATTTTTTCTCTGATATTCTGTTCTCTTTTTCTCATTGTCAACATTTCATTTTCTTTTGAACATGAAATAAATCAGTCAGAGAAAGTATGCAAAATCTAAAGATTTCGAATTTGATACATGTCAAAATAAAAATCATAATGCTGATTTCTTACAATGGGACTTTTGTTGCTATTTGTCTTAATTTTTTTTCTCGCATTAAGACGATTTTTGTTAGATCCTCTTGACTTTTTATGAACTCGAAAGATATTAGAATTCATCATGATATTCTGTGTCAAAAACAAAGCATGAACCTATTGTTTGAATTAAAGATGTTATAAATACTCACGTATTCCATCATTTTCCACTTCTTCCAATTGGACAATCTGTAGATCACTATAATGCAATGCATTGCTCTTGGCACGAAATTTACTGCCCAATTTTAGCACCACTTCTTTCTCATTGGGATAAACAGTATAGCCAGCGAGGTTCTTTCCATTGACAGCTTCAATCATGAAGAGAGTCGATTTTTTATTCGAGCTTAAGAAACCTTGGACAACATTAAGCGATAATGAGCAAGAGCTTACACTCCACCAAGTTAATAGTTCGTTTTCGTTATAATAATTGCTAACGTCACTCGATATACCTCGCCAAACATTTCCTTTTACAGTCGGTAATTTACTGAGTGCTGTATCAAATAATTTCAGAAAACTGAACCATGGCTTGATTTTATGTCGATCTTCGTCTCGTAATGCTTTGTTTAATAATCGATACAAACTATAATCACCTGCTTCCATTGTGTATAAAAATATAGAGGCTGATTCATCAAGTGTAAGATCATGTTCCGATGGATGATGACAGTGTCTTTTGGCTTCTTCGATAGAACGTTCTAACTGATGGATTTGAGACAGCAAAGGTACTAATGCTTGTTCAAGTGAAACAAGTGGATAAGCCCAGTAGCCAGCGACGGGTGGAAGATTCTTCTTATCGAGATTTAGCTCAGTAAATCGATTCATTTTGTGTGCCCTTTTTTGTGGATTCTATGAAATATTATAGTCAAATTATCAATGTTCACAAAATCAAAACAATGATTTGCAAGTGAGGTGGCGTCGGATCCATGTAACTGTGGAGAGTTGGATCAACTTTTCATCACTGTCATACTATTGTCACACTTAGGGATGTCAATTAGTGTTTACTTTCAATCTAATTTATGCGTAAATTAAATTATCAGTAATTTGAATTGAATATAAAATTAAATAAATAATTCTATTTCTTTTTCAGATTTCAGTCTAGTTAGACGAACAAGGAAAAAACCAGCAGTGTTCAGCAAGAAATATCGGTCATTTCCTGGTAAATTTTAAAAGGAAGAGTGACAGTTCTTTTGAGAAATCGATCCAGTTGAGTCCTAATAATTTCTTCATATAGAAATAAAGAGGATAATAATAAACATTATACCATATACATTTTAAAGTGATTTTAGTGAACGCTTGCATGCTTAAGACCCATTCATATTTTCCATTTTCTAAGTATTATATAGAGGGATACTGATTACTAAATTTTACACATATTCCTTGATGTATCTACTTGTCTCTTTAATGACCAAAATTACTGAATACAGGCCAAAAAATGCTATTTTCGACTATCCGAACAAAATTTTCTTGACTCGAAACAGGTTCGCAACTTTTTTCCTCACAAATTATACATGAATTTATAGCCCATGAAAATCTTTATCGATTGATATAAAACTTAGAGTGAGGAAACTCTAGTTCAATGCATAAGACGATTTATTCCATAGTGTCTCCATCTTTATGTAATACCTTTTTGCCCTTCAACGAAATTCGTATATACATTAGAAACAAATCAATCATTGGAATCAAAGATACAAGAGAAAACATGTAACAACCAAAAAAAAAAAACTACGAACCTCTTTTATCAATGTTTATCTGCAGAGGAGAAACTCATATCGAAAATGCTGCTTTTTTTACACTATATCTCTTGTTTCACGTGGTTTCTTTACTCAGCGAAAAAAACAAATGGCTATTTAGAAGGCAAAAGAAGCGAATGCAAGAATGAAAGAAAAAAAAATAAGATTTTTTTTTCATTATACGTCAAATCGAAAGTGGAGGCTGGTTTACGTCTTAACTCTTGGTTTGTACGACATCTTTTCACTTTCTTGCTCCAATCATTTCATAGTTTCTATCAAAAACAAAGGCATCCAATCTGATTGGCATTACTTCTAGTTTTTCGTTGCATAATCAGAAAGAATTAAGACCTGTTTTTATTAACAGCAAATAACAGATGAATAGAGGTGTCATTTTTGTGATAATTAAAAATAATCTGAAATTATTTTTGTAATTTAGAATTTAAAGGACACTGTTGATGTGGGTGAAGAGAAAACTCATAACCACATCCATATGTTTCACGAATGTTGTGATAAAATCACTGTACTTCATTCGGAAGAGAAATAATGGCACGCGAAATTGTTCGCCAAAATGTCTCAAGAAAGTGAAAAGATAATGGTTGATCGAAAAATCGACTGATGGTTTCGTTGGGTTTAGAATGATACCGTCAAGATGGAAGTGAAAACGAAAAAAATGCAGCGAGCAAAATGGAGATAATCATTGAAATTTTGTGTCCTTGTTTCGTTGCCACATTCAGTTGTTCGGCTCTGTTCTTTTATCTTCTATTATTAAAACGTTTCGATGAACAAGACTAACACTGTGGTGTGTTATAAAAACATTAAAGTTAAACATGTACGATTTTCCTGTTCATCTCGAGCAAAGTTCTATGCCGATAGACCGCTGAAAAGAGCGGCGAGACATCGAAGGAACATGCCACATCCGAGATATATGTAATTTTGCTTGCCGACTATTTCTCGAAACCAGAATAATGACCAAAGTGATGTGACAACACCTGGTAGAACGGTCACAATGGGATAGGCAACGGCACCTTTTAATGAACTAATGGCCACAATGAAGCCAATATTCGCGATGGCCCACATCGATCCACTGACCATGGCTGGTATCGCAATGATCGGATTGATCGCCGGTCTGTTCCGTTTTAAAATTGCATAGATAATAAAATAGATGGTAGATGAAAGCAAAATTCCTGAGTATTGTGAATTGATATAGTAAAGACCATTGGATGGGGGCCGTTCTCCCTTGTACATAAATTCGTCAGGATGATCACGAATGTATTGGTCGGGTATGAACATCAACCCATAGAATATGCCGGCCAATGCTGCCAAAAAGCAACCGAGACCCTTTTGGATCGATGCGTTAAGATGATTGAGAAACGGAAAGTCGGTTTCCGTCTTTACTTTGACTGTTTCTTCATTAGCATCCGCTTTCCTTCCCAGTTCTCCTTCGATTTGTTCATTTGTTTTGTAGTCATCGTTTGACGCGTGTGACGTATTGTTGGACTTGATTAGAATAAATAAGATGGCACTCATTGCAGCCAATATGACTGAAGCATAATTCATGCTTAGTTTCAATGGTGTTGATGGGACTTGTGCTGTGACACCAAATATACCGAAGCGACCACTAGCCCAGCCCATGATCAAACATGTCGTGCACCAAATCAGCATACCGACAGCCAAGCCGCATGTCTTGATGCAGAACACCGTGACAAGATTGCCGGTTGCCCAGAGTGCGCCTAAAATAATCTAATTAGCAAACAGAGTTTCCAGTTATGTCTTACCTCCAATAAGTACGAGCGGATAGAATCGTTGATTACCCAAAAAAATATCGAGTGCAAGACCAACAATCCAGACCGAAACACAGTACACAAATTGAAAGAAGAAACCGTCTCCGACAGAATACTGTTTTACGGGAACAAAATTCGAACCGAAGAAGATCGATGCAACCAGACAGCCGATAAAACCTGCCCAGAGTGGTGGAGCTGCATCTGTTGTCGCTGAAATTGTCGTCCCATTCATCCATGAAGAATTCATTATAGTTTCTTGAATGATAGAAGAACTACTAATCAACGATGTCTCAATCGTTGTTGTCAAATCGATCGTAGGTTCGGACATATTTTTGATACCGTAAAGAAGGCAAATATAACAAAACAATCGAAATATGAGTGCTTGTTCGTTCAATACAATGTTTATTTTATTAGTTCAAGTCACCAAGTGTGTCTTTTTCTCTCTCTCTTTCTTTCTTTACATGCCCTCTTCATATATAGTATTGAGTACATAGCACGTAGTACGATACGTAATCGAGGATAGAGCGAAAAAGAAGTTTGAACAGTGACCGATCAAGCGATTACACATGATGTATAATACACTTGAGAAGAGATTGATGATTTATTACACACTAAGATAAAAAATATATCGCAAAATACGATACAGTGCACGGCACATTCTTGCACAATACATTCATCAGACTATCTGATCGCGTTCGAATCTACTGGTGATCATATTCTGCAATCGCATTCAACTAACGAATCTCTTCCACATATTATTGTTTTATGTCAAAATTAAATTCACATATTTTTTTCAATAATTCTTTTTATCATCTATCTTCAAAAAATAATAAACGATACATTTTTTAAAGAGGCAATTTTTTGAATGTGGATATGTGTGAAACTTCTTAGCCCACACCCATAGTTTCGGGTTTTTCACACGAAACCATACCTATCTGGGATCAAACGAAGCTCTTTCATATCTGCCTTATGAAACTTCATTGACTTGGCAGGATAAGGAATGGTTCTGTATGATTTGTGCAGAGATATCATAATATCCATAAGGTGGGTATCGGTGAGTTACTTAGTCGCGATATCCACTGAAGAGGATACCCAAAAAATGGATACCTTACCTTTAAAATGTGAGGATTTTTAGTGAATTTGAAGCAACTATGTGACTAGTGATGCAGTCTAACATTCCATCATTCTGAAATACTTTTGCTTGCATTGAATACTAAATGAAATACATCGCAAAATATAGAGAATCGTATCCTATGACAACACAGAAGCTTATTTTAATATCTCTTCGATAAGAAAATGTATTCGATAACACATTTTTCTGTCCTAAAACTTGTATCTATCTTTTGGAAGTGTTTCCTATTCTTGTTCTGCTCTGTTCTGTATCGTTTTAGCTACTGTCTCACGGATTTTATTTTCAAAAGATTGGATTTTAACGACTCACGAAGCCTTTACTCATTTGTGCATTCTATAGTTTACGATATTTGAGTATTTTTTTTCTCTTTGAACTATTCTCGCTTGAAGCTTTCGAAGCTATGCACCAAACTAGAGGGAAATTCAAGTGTGGCTGCCGTGAAAGGGCTAACACATGGGACAGTACACCCACAGCACATCCCTTGGTATGGGTGTATGCATATGAGCCTTGTATGCTTCCTCAACCTCACTCACATCAACACCCAAACCGACATTGACTTTTTTGGGTGTCCATCTCCTTACACCAAATTCACTCAAATTCCTCGCTATTCTGGAATATATCAATGTGTGAGAATCTCGATTTTCGAGTTCGGAATATTATAACATCCCTCACAATGTAATAAATGTATTGTTTAGTTAATATGAAAGTATAAAAAATATTTAATGGCGAACTCTATCACTAGACTCGAATTTCATTCACAAAAAAAAATGTACAAAAAACATATTAATATGTATCACGTAGATTAAGAAATTCTACGAAAGAAAAATAAGTTATATAGTATCGATTTGATATTATTGTTCATATAGTCTATTTTTCTATTTTGCTTTAACAAGTGTGCTTGAGTTAAAATATGTGTATAAAATTGTTTGCAAGAATATTTGCTACTTACTCTTATTTTAAGGTAAACGCCATTATAGTACTGACTAGGAAATCTTCCAAGGTGCGGGAGCGCTTTTCAATCGGGGTTTCGTGCATCTTGTAGCCCGTAGTGAGTTATGCTTACGGTAAAAAAAGTTCGGGTTTCTGGCTTGTTTCTGAGGAGATATCGAGCTCNTAGTGAGTTATGCTTACGGTAAAAAAAACTTCGGGTTTCTGGCTTGTTTCTGAGGAGATATCGAGCTCTTAGTGAATTTTCTTTGTTGTACGCCTACAGTGGCAGCAAAGCTATACTTTCAAATGTTGACCTGAAACTTTGCCTGCATAAAGGCCTCAGCTAGACTGGTTTGCATAAAAAATTTCAGAAGTTCTGAATAAAGTCTCTCTAAGATATGAAACTATCAAGATATAGTCCCTTTTTCATCAATAATATATATAGTATGCATTTTTTTCAAAGCTTCATATCTTAGAGAGACTTTATTCAAAACTTCTGAAATTTTTTATGCAAACCAGTCTAGCTGAGGCCTTTATGCAGGCAAAGTTTCAGGTCAACATTTGAAAGTATAGCTTTGCTGCCACTGTAGGCGTACAACAAAGAAAATTCACTAAGAGCTCGATATCTCCTCAGAAACAAGCCAGAAACCCGAAGTTTTTTTTACCGTAAGCATAACTCACTACGGGCTACAAGATGCACGAAACCCCGATTGAAAAGCGCTCCCACACCTTGGAAGGTTCCCTAGTTAGTCTTTTTTTCGTTTTGAGATAATTCCAGTTGATTATAAATAATGAATCATATAGGTAATTAAACGATCAATCAGCAATGTTTCTAAAAAATCTGTCGAGATGTGTTAATAGAGTTCCCCTACTGATGAATTTCATTATTCCTATCTCTTACACTCGTTGAGGTTTAGATCAGCTGATTGATGGAAATGTGATTTTTTCTTCGATCTACAATGACAAAAACTGTCTGATCCAAGTAAAACGTGAACATTTGCAGGAAAAAATATGATGTCCGATAAATATATAACAATCAGAGTTTATGAGTTTCACACTTTGGTTCCTCATGAAAACGCACTAACAAATTCTTTTTATTTAAAACTCATCTAAAATATTTCAATACACTATCGTAGTATAATTGCATTACGGAGAAGCAGGTGAAAAAAATTGTAGTACTGTATTACATAAGAGACTAATGCTCACGACATCTACAATGGATATTTTTTGTCATTTTGCATGATTTCAAGTTTTCCACATATGATGATGTATTAACAGCTTATTGGCGAGAAATAGTTACAAAACTGTACTTAACGAATATCCTAATCATCTTTGTTTGCTCTCTTGTTGCTTGTGAGAAATTTCAAGTGTAGTAGTTCATTCATAAGTTCCATTTACGCGTTCAATTTTTTGTGTAAATCAGCCTCTATGCTAATGTGAAGAATGAAAAAAAAAATATACTAATGGCACTCCAGAAATAAACAATATCAATATATGCATATATCACGAAAGAAAAACTAATGTTACAATGAATGTACTGACAGATTGTAATATCATTTGGTTGGACGATAGAAATATTGATGACAAAAATTTAGCTGTTAATATTCAGTATTATGTAACATTTTCTTTCTATACATTTACTAACTTGGCTGTATGTTCAACTTTCATTCTACATTGTACATCTGAATCTCGCATTCTTCTTATTGTCGTACGAGATCACTATGTTGATCGACTCTTAAAAAGAGCTCTTATGTTTCTATCTTCTCAAATTACTGTCTTTATCTATGTTCTTGGTAATAAATGGTTATTTCGTTGGAAAACAGATACTCGTATTCGAGATATTTTCCATGTAGATGAAGAAGAAAAAATTATTAACAAATTACAAGAAGATTTACAAAAACATTTGATTCAACGTTGGTCATCTGGATACTGTGTTTTTAGTCAGAATGTACCACAAATTGTATTCGATAAATTAAATAATGAAAATGCTAAATTCATGTGGTTTGAACTACTTATTCAAGTACTTCTTCGAATGCCTTCAACAACAAGAAGCAAAGACGATTTATTGCAACAAAGTTTTCTTGTTTACAGTAAGAATGAGAAAGTACAAAAGAAAATTCATGAATTCTACCGAACATATCAGGCTAAGGATGCTATCGTTTGGTATACCAAAGATTGTTTTCTCTTTCGTCTTTTTAATCAAGCCTGTCGTACTGATGATATTGATCTCTTATTCAATTTTCGCTTTTTTATTCGTGATTTGCATCATCAACTCAAAATAATGTATTGTAAACAGCATTCAAAACGTAATCCAGAAGAAACAATAACTGTATATCGAGGTACAATCATATCAAAAGATGAACTTCAAATACTTCTGACGCCAACTACGGAAAAGAAAATTATTTGGTTCAATACATTCGTGTCAACTAGTTTAGATAAAGATGTTGCTGAAAAATTTATATGTAAGTCATCAACCAATGATCAAGTAAGCGTTTTAGAAGAAATACATATCGATGACAAGACAGATATGTCATCCGTACCATTTGCCGTTATACCCAAAAGTGCGATTGAAGACGAACGTGAAATACTTTTGTCAATTGGAAGTGTATTCGAATTAGAATCAATCAAGGAAAATGTAAGATTTACATTGAATATATAGTAAGAACGATTCATATCGTAGCTGCAGATAAATATTTTCGTGACGATTTTTGATAAAGAAAAATCAATACATAATTTCTAGAATAGTGTAGCTTCATTCTTAAATCTAGACAGAAATGCTGATAAATAATTTAACACATTGATATCAATAAAATGAATCAAAGTATTTACAAATCGTACATTGTAATTATAATATTTTTCTTGAGTCTCAAAATTTTGTTGTCTTTCAAAATTCTATAACTCTTTAGCTTGATTTTTCTTCAGTGAGATAGAGTAGTCATTACTAATTAGACACGTATCTACAAGATACAATGGTTCAAACTTTGATATCAGCAACCATTAAATAAAAGTGAACGTTGTCCTGGATCTTCCAGTCGATAGTATGCTGACTACATTACTAACATGTAGAAAAATTTGTTATAATTCTCAAGTTTCACTCTTTTACAGAATGATCATACTTGGGAAATCAAGTTGCATATGGTTGACTATGAAGATCGTATTAGAAGTGAATTACGGGTTCAGCTTGAAGACGAGATGGAACAAGAGACGTCATTAATAACATTATCAAGTTTCCTCTTTTGGCGTGGCGACTTTGAAAAATCGGAAAAGTACAAGTGAGCTAAGTTCTTCTGAGTTTACAATAATATATACTGAAATAATATTTCTAGTAAAATTTTGCTTAAAGAGCTTTCGGTCAATGATTTTGATCTACCACTAGTCCACAACAATTTAGGCTATACATATCAAAAAATGGGGAAATTCACCGATGCACTCTACCATTTGAATACATCAATTGATTTGTATTTGAAGAAGGACGCTGATAATTATACTATTAATTTCAATCGTAAACTGGCTTGCGCTTATAATAATAAAGGTCTTGTTCATAGAGATCTTGGCGAATTCGTTGAAGCTTTGAAATACATGAATAAAAGTCTCGATTTACGTTGTGATGATGCTACTTTACTTGAAAAAGAGCGAAGTCGCTTGGCAATCGAACGCTCTTATAGTCATGAAAATCTTGGTCTTCTTTACAACGACATGTGTAATTATGAATTAGCTTTGTATCATTTACAAGAAACACTTGATATTCGAAACATTAATTTACCGCCTAATCATCACTTGATCGCTCAAGTTTACAATAACTTAAGTAGAATTTACAATCTTCTAGGCAATCCATTGAAATCTTTCGAATGTACCGAACAAGCACTTACTCGTCAAATTCAGTCTTTGCCAGACAATCATCCCCACCGAGGTACGATGTACAATACGCTTGGCGAAGCATACTACTCTCAAGGACAATATTCAATGGCATTATTAAATTTCGAGAAAGCTCTCAACATATATCAATCAGCACGTACTCGAAGTCCTCTTCTTGAAGCTATTGCTCTCAGCAATATGGGCATAATCATGAAAGTCCAAGGAAACTATGATGAAGCTCTAAAAACATTTATAAATGCACTTTCAATTATTGAAAGAGAGCGACCTCGTCATCCTGATGTAGCTCGCTGTCTTAATAATATAGGATTTGCTTATAGGGGTAAAAGTGACAATGCAACAGCCATAGTTTATTTTAATCGAGCACTCAACTTTTGTAAATCGTATCTAACAGAGAATAACGAAGTAACGGCTATCAGCTATCTCAATGTAGCGTCAGAATTAAATGAAGATCAATACGATTTGGCTATGGAGTATTTTCAGCGAGTAATCTCGATTTATGATCATATTGGTTTACCACATCATCACAACATTATCCGTTGTCACATATATTGTGGTCACTTTTATCGCAAAATACATAATCATCAGTCTGCATTAGCATGCTATGAAAAAGCAATTTTTCATTGTGAAAAAGCCTCATTTCCAGAACGACATTCCTTATGGATTGAAGTTTATACAAATTTTGCTCTTGAATATTATCTGATGGCTGAGTACGGTCGAGCATTAGTAGAATATGAACATGCTTTACAACATATTACTGAAGAATCACTGGAAATACCACGAATTTATAAGAGCATGGATCTTTGTCGAAGACAAATAATCGAAACCGACGTTCGTCAAACAATGACATTTATACTAGATGAATTGGCAATTCTACCGTGATAGTTAACTACAAATTGAACTAATCAAATGAAAAAAAAAAGAAATCTTCGTATTGAAATATATGATAAATAAATAAATTCAAATCTATTGACAAAACCTATTAACACAATCTCAACGAGATTAATATATGAAACACGATATTGTTGCTGTTTCTAAGTTCAGACGCATTACTTTATTCTATTTATTTTGGAACATATTTCATCACCCTTCTTTTACTTAATCCTTCACAGATACAATAAAGAAGTATTTGATATACAGCCTATGGTCATATGTTAATAGCATCTGTTCCGATCTGTGGATACGAATATCTACCCTGTATACCTGATCATTCCTTTTAGATCGTGTTTCACAAAAGAGTGCAAAAAATTAGAGATTTGAACAGATTTTGTTATACGGTTGAATCCATTCGAACGATTCTTTAGCTCATTTGATTTGAATTATGCTAGGCCCTATTCGATTCCTATTGGAAATTAAAGCTACAGAAAATCTTTAATTATACTTAAAGGAAGATTATCCATATACGTACAGACAAGTGTGTGCGTTTTTTCGTTTCAAATATTTTAAAGAAAAGTCTCACCTTTGTCGATAAGTCTATCATCATTCAATTTTTATAAAGTTGTTGAAGTATTTCTACATATTCACATAGATTTAAAGTTCGTTAACGTAAATATTGCATGTTTTCCTTGAATTCATTTCATATCATTGTAGAACCAGTGAAATAGAATTGGTCCTAGTTATAAGTCCTAGGAAACTCTTTTTTTAGTGTTACAGACATCAAAAGTTAGCGTATTGAACTCAACATATCATTTCGAGCTCGTGTAGATGTGAATGAAGAGAAAATCCATGCTCTCGCACCGCTTCAACTCAACATTCTATAGAACAATGAATTCGATATTATAATAAATGAAATCTTATTTATCTATCAGGATTATTGGAACTAAAAACTCTAATAAAACTACTCGAATGATGATATCTGAAAAGTCATATCCTCAAAAAAACTCCGGTTTTCTGGCATCCATTTAAATCTTTTTTAAAAATAATTTTATTTCATAGAGCAAAATGAGATGTTTCGATTCTTTCCAGGATGTTCCTTCGTCGAACTGTACTCAATTTGCCGACAACTCAAAAAAGGACTTTTCGTTTGCTTTTATGAAAAATTTCAATGATTTCACGCTTTGGGATCTTCTATAAATACAAGGTGACGCAAAAGTCAGCTTACCCAAAAAAAAAATTAAATATCTCCATTACGGTTCGAATGAGCTGATTTCTTTATCAGTGATAGAGGCATGTACCAAGTTTATATCCATACAGACATGCCTAGAGAAACCCTTTGTTAAGTATATTGTTTTTTCTCCTGTCTGTCAAAAAGTAAAATTTTTTTTGTTGAGATCAATAGTGATACTTAACAAAGAGTCTCTCTAGGCATGTCTTTATGGATATGATGCTTTAACATGCCTCTATTATTGGTAAAAAAAATCAACTTGTTTGCTTGAGCCGTAGTGGAGATATTCAATTTTTATTTTGATAAACTGACTTTGGGGCAACCCTGTATATGGCCAAAAGTGACGATACCAAGAAAAAACTAAATATCTCCGCTACGGCTCACGCAAACGGACTGATTCTTTTACCAATAATAGAAGCATGTTCACACTTTAAATCCATACGGACAAGATTAGAGAGAGCATTTGTAAAGTACCACTAATGACCTCAACAAAATAATTTTACTTTTTTCACAGATAGAATAGAAAACAATATACTTAACAAAGGGTTTCTCTAGGGATGTCTTTATGGATATACAGCTTGAACATGCCTCTATCATTGATAAAAGAATCAGCTCGTTAGCTTGAGCTGTAGCGGATATATTCAATTTTTTTCGGCAAAGTGACCTTTTTTCTAAGTGTGAAAGAGTAAATTTTTTTTGTTGAGGTCAATAGTGATACTTAACAAAGAGTCTCCCTAGACATGTCTTTATGGATATAAACTTGGTACATGCCTCTATCACTGATAAAAAAATCAGCTCGTTTGCTCGAACCGTAATGAAGATATTCAATTTTTTTTGGGTAAACTAACTTTTGCGCCACCTTGTAGAATGAAGGAGGGTCATGAAAAGAGCTGAGATATCTAATTTTCCTCAATTAGATAAAACTATTTCCGAAAAACTTCAAATAGATGTTTGAAACCTAGTTTTTAAGAAAATGGTTTTCCAGATAAATCTTACCCAAGTAGTTTTATTGGAGTTCTTAGGTCTACCAATCATGATAGAGAATTTTTTCAGCTACTCAATTTTTTCTTAGCTATTACCAAAGAGAAGAAAACTCAAAAATACAACGTCTTAAAACTTATGTCAACTATAATAAATTAAAATAAACACGTTTATAATATTAGATTGCAATTGATAATATTCTCTATGAAGATCTTTCTTGTAATACAATATGAATAGTACACATTTCTGTATCAAATCAATTCATAATAGAAAAAAGTTCATCCCATAATCCACTTATATTTTATCAATAACAAAAATCTATCGCATTTTTTTTTTGGAATAAATGAGTATTTATCAAACAAACAAAGGAAAAGTCATTAATCACATGTTATACCATAAACTTGTTTATCAAAAATAAAATAAACCATCTTCGATAATTATTTCTTTTTGTTTGTTGGAGCTTTATAATATCGTGTTGGTACAAATGGCATTTTAACAATTTCAGCTTCCATTGTACGATTCCGAATATTAATAGTTACTTTATTGCCAACTTTAGAAAATGGAGTTTCAATATAAGCCATACCAATATTTTGAAGTTTAAGTGATGGTGATGGACAACCACTTGTTACTTTTCCAATAATACGACTTTTATCATCACGACTATTTCGAATTTCTACTCCACTTCTTGGACATGATCCAGATGATTTTATTCCAACACGTTTTCTTGATGCACCTTTTTCAAGTTGTTCTAATATAATTTTTGCACCTGGAAAATCAGCTAATTGTCTTCGTCGTTTTCCAATAGTCCATGTTAAATCAGCTTCAACAGGTGTTGTCTGTTCATCAATATCATTTCCATATAAACAAAGACCAGATTCAAGACGAAGAGAATCTCGAGGACCAAGACCAGCCATTTGAGCAATACCAGATGATAATAAAGCATTAAGAACACGTTCAGCATTAGCATTTGATATACTTATTTCAAAACCATCTTCACCAGTATAACCCGAACGATTTATACGACATGGAATCGATGAATTATTATCAAAATTTGTTAAACGACTTTGCATAAAATAAAATTTTGATAGATCTAATGATGATGGAAGATGTGGTTGAAGTACTTCAGCTGAACGTGGACCCTTAAAAAAAAAGAAGAAAAAACAAGATCATTATTGTTTTTTTCTTCTTCTTCAAAATAAATTCAATAAGTTTTTATATATTTACTTGTAATGCCAGTAATGCTTGATTACTAAGTACTTCAATATCAACATCTAAACCTTGTCGTTTAGCTTTTGCAAGTTGAGTATGTAAATGAGCAAGATCTTCTGTAGCACGACCAGCATTTGATACAACAAATAAATAACCTTCACTTGTTTTTGTAACAATTAAATCATCAAGAATACCACCATGATCATTTGTATATAAAGTTAAACATGCCGAATTTTCAGGTAAATTTTCAAGATCAGATACAATTAATTTTTCAAAAAAACGAACACGATCAGCACCTTTAACATGTATTTGTAACATATGAGAAACATCAAATATTGAAGCATCCGAACGTGTATATAAATGAGATTGAATAACAGATGCAGAATATTGTACAGGTAATGTCCAACCACAAAAACTAACCCTGATAAATAAGCAAGAAAGTGCAATTGTGTTTTAACTAATCAATAAGAAACTCACATGCGTCCAGAATTATTCACATGAAAATTATATAAAGCCGTTTTTTTACTCGGTGATACATTAGCTGTATTATGTGATGTCGAAGCTTCTTCACTTTTATTATTACCTTTCAATGATGATAATGCTATTCCTCGACATTGTAATATCAATCCTCGATTGATCAAATTTCGTGTTAAAAAGCTCGACATCTAAAATATTTTTAAACTTTTTTTTTTTATTCATTTTTTTTTTAAATGTATGCATAAATATATAATAATATTAAATTGACAAAACAATAAAATGATACATCGAAACAATGACTTAGATATTGTCTATAATAATTTTAGGAAAAAAAAAGAAAAAGAAACACAAGAAGAAGCAAAAGAAGAAAATGTATGATTAGTCATGATTATTATCCGACTATCAATTTACCTGAGAATATAAATTCAAAATACATTTTCTAAATTCCATTACACAAAAGAAAAGAAAAATATGTCATTAAACGAAAGAATAAAGGATAGTTTGCCTGAGACAATTAGTTTATGAAGTTACAATTTGTTGATAATAATTTGAAGATGTATTTGATTGTGGTTCGGTTATTACAGAAACAAGATCGCCAATGGCACGATTAATATCATCAGCCATATGAAATAGATTATCGATTGTCATTAAATCTAATCAAAACAAAAAATTTCTTTTCTTTCTTTATTTTGTAAGGAAAATTTTTCTTACTTGATTGTCGTTCAACATTTCGATCAATTGAACGACGCATAGTCGGTACGGGAGGAGACTAAAATTTAATCAAAAATAAAAAAAAAGAAGTTGAATTTTTTTTCGGCATCAAAACTCAAATATTTTTTTTGAATAACTCATGCGATATGTAAGATAGTTGCATGCAGTGTTCATCAACCAATGACAAACACTCTCAAGTAGAGTACTGCACGGGTACAACCTTTCGTACCCGTACCCTACCCGACACCTTATTTGTTACCCCGTACCCTATCCGACCCGTAGGTTCCAATTTCCTAGAATCTTCTCCTATTCCCGGCTCGCACCCCACATATCTAGAATAGAGTAAACCCTTCCCGAGAATAAAAGAGCATGGCCTTATATTGCGTCTCCGCACATCGTTGCTTTCTAGGTGACCTTCTATTGAGGTCAGCTTTTGACCAATTATTAATTAAAATTTTTTAAAAACTATAATAATTAATTAATAATTTTAATTGAAGTATTTCTGGTTTTTTTTTGGTGGAAAAACCGCTGTTTTCATATAAAAATATGCTCTCAATGATAGAATATGGCGCGATTTCTCAAAAAAACAGTAATTTTTGGCTAATTATTAATTAATATTTACGAAAAATTAAATATTTTTGTAATTAATTAATTAATTAGTGCATGGCCTTCTAATAGGGCTGATGAACTTTTGTTCAGACATGGCCTTCTAATGGGGGTGGCCCTCTAATATGGGGTGGCCTTTTATTATGGGGAGGGGTTTACTGCACGGGTACAACTTTTCGTACCCGTAACCAACTGTACCCGATACCCGATGTGGGTATTGGGTACCCGACCTGTGGGTGGCAGTACTCTACTCTCAAGTATGTTTTCATAAACAAAATCTGCTTTCAGAAGATCTTTGAAAAACCATCTTGTATTCCTCAAAGTTCATACACAAAACTATGGGAGTTTTGTTTTACTCAACTCAGGAGTTCTCAATGGTTTTTCAAAAAGCCATAAAAGGAAAGATTCTGCATCAGATTGAATGTTATGAAACTACTTATTGTAGAGTTTCGTATGGTTCTTGAATTGTTTTTAAAAAGTACGGTAGTTGTAAGACTCAGTCTATTCTTTCATGTCTTTCCGAATGTGCCGGACCGAAAAATATGAAAACTTCAAACCTTCTCAATCGAATAAAATTAAACTTTTGCTTAGATCTACGAAAAAAAATCCTAATTATGCATGCCACTTCGAAGAAATACGATGTAGTTTTTCAAAGGGTCTTCTGAAAAATCGATCATCGGAATTTCTATGAAAATATGTCATGAGAATTTTGCTTACGATTGATGAAAACTGCATACCGCATGAGTTATTCAAAAAAAACACATCTAAGTGCTTTAACTTTTAACGCTGATAATAGTAAATAAATGTTCTTTTTTTAATTACCTCTTTTAGTAATAATTGTTTTGAACGTTTTAATTGTTTTTCTAATTGTTTATTATGTTCTTCAAGAATTTTCATTCGTTGTTCTAATTTAATTTTATGTTGTCTTAATTGTTTTGCTTCACGTAATATTTTACGATCATTAAAAACTTCTACGGAATTATCATCTAATTGTAATTGTTCGTGTTGTTCATTTATAATTAAACATTTTTCTCTATGTTCTTGACAAAGACGTTCATATTCATTTTGTAAAAGACGATTTTCATCTTCGAGATCATGAATTATAGCTTCTAATTCAGCACGTTCATCACTATCAAGTGAAGTTGAACCATGTAAAGATTCATAAGCGGTAACATCAGGCTTAAAAACAAAAAGTTCACAAAATCAAATTTGAGTAAAATTTTTTCACTCAAATTTTACACAAAAAAAAACTAATATTTTGTCTTCGAACGATCGCGAAAGAGATATAAGCCATGTTTTCTGCTGAATAGAGAGTTACGAGTCCCTCCGGACTTCACTCCGATCGTGTCTATATCCAAATTTAATTTTAGATCCGATTTCTATTCAGCTTCGAATTTGAATAGAGTTGACACGGCAGTCTGCTGAAATATAGCACTTCAGCTACTATTCATCTTTCGACTGACTATTTCCCACGAGGAACCAATAAATAAATGCAATCTTGATTCTTCATTAGGTTATATACGAGCGCAAGTTCAAATTCCTTATTATCTCAACATATATTTAACCTACATTTACATGTTATATCTAAAATGCACTCTCTTAAAATAAAGCAAGAAAGAAAGACAAAACGGTAATGACTGATCAACCGGTCGATATAGCGCCCATTGGGTTCAAAATTTATGAACTAAGACCCAGTCAATAGAAAAATCTCAGATCCGTACTCAACCGCTTTCGAATCCAAAGCCAACCCAACCTATAAAACGTTTTGTTTTTTCTTTGTTCGAAAGAACCACAATACAGTTTCCAAAGTATTTCTACTCACCGATTTATGTGAAGCATTACTCAAATTTCTACAATGTTTTGCAATAATACAATGTTCATCATCACTAAAATAATAAAAATTTAAAAGTATTCTTTTCCAAAACAAAAATTTCTTTTTTTCTACTTACGATTCCATGGATGGAGAAATTTCTTGTGTAATTTCAATATCAGGTCTAAAGAAAAAATTCTATCTGTTACAAAAAAAAAAACAAATTCATTATAATTAAATATTTTTCTATACTTAGAAGGTGTAGTTAATGGAGAAATTAATATTGGTGATGGTAATATTTGTTGTTCATTTGTTGATAAAGTATTATCAAAAACATGTGGTAATGGTAAATAACCAAGTTTAGGAGTTTTTCTATGTTTACTCCATAATTTATTTTTAAATGTACGAAAAAAATCTCGAATATCTTCTGAAGATGTTGTCTAGAATAAAAAAAAACATGATTTTTATTTTTATTTTTTTTGCTAAAAAAATTTAAAATAAACAAACTTCAGTATAATATTCTTGTAATGGATCAGCCATTTTAAAAACTTTTGTTTGTTTACCAGAAAAAAAACAATTTTGACATATATCACAATTAAAATGTCTTAATGAACGATAACGAAATCCAAGTATAGGATATATTTTACATATATTACAACGTGCTTCATGTTTAGCTATTTCACTTGCTGCTAAACGATGTAATACAGGTAACCATACAAGTGATTGAGGTTCAAGTTTAACCCATTCAAGAAAATCATCAGCTGTTATTACATCTGGATTATGTGCCTAGAATAAATTATTAAGTTTTAACTTATTTAAACATTATTATTTTCTTACATATTCAAAACAACTTTGAACACTTGGTTCAACACTTGATCCACCAAATGCTGCAACTTCACCAAGTTGTTTTGGAATCTAAAATTCATAAAGAAAACTTTCGTATATGATTTATTGTTTTCGAATTAAGACTATAGAAATATGCAAGATCAAGTTTTTTTTTTTGTAACAGATAGAATTTTTTCTTTAGACCTGATATTGAAATTACACAAGAAATTTCTCCANAAATTTCACCCCTGCTCCCCCTCAGCTTTTTATTCCTTAAATGTTTCGCTGTGGTCTCCTACGGGTCACATTTTCGTAGAAAATACTTCACAATAAAAACTAGAGTTTTCGGTGTGCTTTTTCACGCTGATTTCAAATATCATGTTTACTTTGCATAAAAAAACACCTTTCGACAATCAAAATCTCAAAATACTACCAAATTTTTAGATAGTTTCTATGTACAAACAGAAATATATACATTTCTGAAAAATGCTCATAACTTTCGAACCGTAGGAGATACAGAACTGGGGCTAGTCTAGAATTGTTGATCTCGACCCGGACTATCGATTGTTGTTCAAGGAAACCAAAATTCATTATACCTTCTGGAAACGACAATCTTGTACATTTTGCATTCAAAGACTTTGTATAGTAAATCTGATCGGAAGGCTTAATTATTCAATAGTATCACGTCCCGTACAAAGATCTATCCAACGGTGAAAACCGCAGGTCTCTATCAACATTTTCTTCAAAAGTTATAAGCATTTTTGTGAAGCGCCTTTTTTTCAAAAATCGATTATAGTCTCTCACTCATGTCTAGTGATCGTAGTGTGTATAGAAATAAATTTCTTAACTTACATTTTCGGATGATCCCAAGAAGTCGTTTGATCCGAATGACTGTAAAACAAAAATGATTTTAAATTTAAATATATACAGAAAAAATAAAAGAAAAACGATATTGTTTTTTACTTTATGTAATAAGGTATTTTATTTACAGCTGTTGCACGTTGCCATGGATGTTCTACTGAACTTGAATAAATATCATTTGCTGTATGTCTAAGTGAATCTTGTAATGATTGAATTCGTTGTGAAACTGATGTTATTGAATGTTCCCATCTATTGATAATAAAACAAAACAAAAAAAATTTATAATTTATTTTTTTTTGTTTCAAACCTTTGATTAAGTTCCTGAGCTCGATTAACAACATGAATATCATATTCAGTTTCAACAGTTTGTGCTGATTGTTGGATATCATCAATGGAAGTTTTACATGACATTAATGTTGCCAAAAGATGCTAAAAGTGGAGATTTTGTATTTTAATTTTTCACTTTCAATGAATTATAAGGAAATTTAATTGTCTAATTCAACTTTCAATACCTTAGCCTGTTCGATTTCAGCTGGCACTTGCTCAGCTTGTAAGGCTTTAATTTGTGGTTTATGTGCATAAGCAAGTTCAATTTCAAGCAAGTGTGCATGCAATCGATCACACTTGCGACGTAACTCTTCGACCGCCTACAAAAAAAAAAGTTTTTTTTTAATTTTTGGATCAATTACAAAAATTCAAACATTAATTAATCTACCGTTTGAGCTCGTTTTAATGTATTTAAACGATATTGAATATTATTATTAGCATTTTTCCAATGTTGTGTTAATTGAAGAACATGTCGACGAACTTTACGTAATGTTAAATCCGAGTATTTTTTTAATGGTGATGAAGGTAGTGAAGACAATGAGCCACCACCTATATCGTCTAAAGATAATACTAAGTGATAAAAACACAATAACAAAAAAGAGAAGAAAAAAAAGAAAAAACGAAGGTCGAAGTTAGTAGTTCGATACATAACAAGCTTAATAATTTGCTTTTCCAATGGTTGATTTAAATGACAAATGAAATATTAGACAAGGAAAGAAAGAACGACCTCTGTTTTTTATGATCGATTTACTTTCTTTTTTTTTTCTCTTACACATACCAGTACTTTCAATAGAATCTTTATTATCTGGTGTATATAAGCGTTTTCCACTATTGATTGCTTCTTCAACTTGTGTACGAAGATTTTGATTAAGTTCACATATAATACGCTAAATAAGAAAAGAAAAATAAATTCATTATCTACCTTTATATAAGTAGAAATATAAAAATTTTTCTTTCAATTATAGATTCATTAAATAGAACATCAATATGAAGAAACTCTTCCAACTGATAAACTTCATTCGATATCATATTTTGCTGATTAAAGTCTTAAAATTATTTGTGATATTAGGATTTTCTTCTTGAGTTATGATTATTTTACTTAATTATCAGTCTATTGCAGGTTATTACGAGAAAAACTTAATTGTACCTAAAAGTTTCAGTCCAAAAACAAACAAACGGATGCTTCTGTATCAAAATAACAAAATTAGATTTACATGAAATTTACTTCATTTTGTGGTTTATACTGTTTCAGATAGTGATACAACTATTTAGTCTTACTTGAGAATTTCCTACTGAGATACAAATGAAATCTTTCGAACAAATTTCCATTAGAATTTGAATTACAATAGAAAATCATCTTTCCGTTAGATTTTCTTCGAAGATATGAATCGAATGTCATTAAAGCATTTTTTTTTCTTCAATACTACAATTGACGAATTGATTGATAATACAAGCAAAATATTTACGGTTATTGATTGTGCAGAGATGATTGTAGCTTACTCGAACTGACTCTTATTCATATATTCAGATCTATATTCAAACAGATGAAGCAAAATTGCAGATGATGGGTATTTTTCTTCCTGTTAGAAAGAGCAAATTGTTGTAAAAGAATTTGATTAGTAATACTTCTTGAAGGTCACAAAACTCTTTCGCAACTCTTATGGAATGTAGCAAAAAATTTAACTTAATAAGAAAGATGTTCTATTCATTCTTCTTTTCCAAATTTCATAACATTAAGATAAGAATCTATTACGTTAACAAAAGAACGGAAGTCTTTTACATGTTTTACAACAACTGACATGAATGCTATTATAACATCTTTTGATGTATCCGACTTTTCATCATTAGGGATTGCCCTAAAATAACCAAGTTCTACTCCGAATAAGAAACTTTTCTATGATAAGTACACAATGTCAATTATTTTAATATCACATAAAATTCGTTGTTGTAATGAACAGTTATATACATATGATGTTAGAATATGTTGAAAATCAACCATGTAAAAAATATCAAACGAATATAGTTTAATACAAAAACTGTGATTGAAGTTGTAAAAAAGTTTTTCGATACAATTCTTTTATAGATTTTTGCACTAGATGTTTTACTCTTTCTAACAAAACAACGACCAAATCTCTACAATATTACATTGCAAATATTGTACAGAAAAATATCGAAAAGTAGTAATAGCAGGAACGATTCGAGATTTTTTTTTGATAAATCAGATTAAAAAAAAGAAATTTTGTAATAATTAATTTATTTGGTATATTCAATAAACGCTAGTTTAAAATTTTTCTTATATGAGAAAAAAGTCACAAGGAAGGCTCTTATCAGCATGTTTTCTTTTATTCATTATCGCCTACATCCCAAGGATATGTATGTCAATAGAAACTTATTAGTTAATATAAAATAATACATTCAAATTAAGCTTAGTTCATTAAATATTTAAAAAAAAAACAAATCTAATTATTACTCAATTAAAATGGAAATTAACTTCATATTATGAATCGATTGAAATCATAACAATTACTAGATGTATCTTACAAGAGATGGTTCTCGAGTGTGAATCATCAATCGATTTCGTCTTTTGCGCTCATATACAGTGCTTGTCGATGCTAGTCGAACCCTTAAAAGGATTCATCTTCTACAAATAGTTTTTCTGAGGTTAGAGACTTTTTATTGGCTTTTCGATCTCTACTTAAGTGTTAACTGACAAAATATATTACCAAAACTTTTTCAATAAGCAATCCTCACAACCAGTAAACCATCCGAAACGGACATTGAATGTTCGGTTCGTCAGCTAATACTTGGTCAAAGGTCGAAAAGCCAGTAAAATAACTATAACTTTAGAGGAACTTTGCATAGTGATGAATTCTTTGAGTCTTGACGAGACCTTTACATGAGTGAGAGATGAATTCGATCAGTAATACACACTTAAAGACTTTCATTTCATTAGATAAGTGATATACAGTTGAGTTCAACTAGCACTGACCAAAAAATACCGATATTGTATAAATGTATGATAGAATTATTCTCATGAGGTATTGTTGCTGTTTTCAATAAGCAATAGATTCAGATCGATAGAAAAGCAAAAAAAAACTAACTTGACAATCAAGCATAAGTTTTTCATTATCATGCATAGGTTGTTTAATATTATTTTGAATTTGTTCTTCAATATTTCGTATACTTGTTATTAATATATCAATATTACTAATAGTATTATCAATATTTGTTTTTATTAGTAAAGTATTTTTTCGAATATTTTCAATTTGTTTTTTTATTTTGAAAAAACGTTTTTGTAAATATTCTCTACGTTGTTTATTATCATTAGGTAAATTTTCTGGTAAATTTGGTCGATTTTCTATTTGTTGGATAAGTTTCTAAAAGAAAAAAAAAAGAATTTTTTTTTTCTCCATAGGGAAACCCCAAAACAAAACCTTTAATTTCGCTTGACTATGTTCATTTTGTTGATATTGAAGAAAATTTTCTTCTAATTCTTTTAAATATTCTTCAAAATCATTGATACATTTTGATGCATCAACAATTGTTAATGGTACTGTAGAATGATTTCTTTGTTGTTCATTTAACCATTGACGAATATGGCTTGTCATTTCTTTTGGATAATTATCAATTAATGTTGTTATTTCATTAGTAGCTGTTACAGCATTATTTTCTGTATGAAAATGTGCAACAAAATTTATACGAAGATGATCTATACGAGATGTATCGATTAACATTTGTTGTAGTATTAATTGCCGATTGGCAAGCTCATTATATACTATGTCAAGAAACGATAATAAACAGAATAGAAGAATAAATATAAATATTTATACATACTTCCATTAGATAGAGTTGAGTTCAAATCATATATTTGTGAATCTTTATAATGTGTTAAAAAAGTCTATTTAAAAGAAAAAAAAAAACAATTAATCATTCTTTTTTTATTATTTTACTTGAATTTTATCTTTATGTTGTTCGATTTCTTGACGATTTCCTAATTGTACAATAGTATTTAATAAATTCTGTGCTTGTTCATTTAAACTATGTTGATTTTCAATTGCACATGAGGATGATGATGATGATAATAACAATGGTACTGTTGAAGGAAATTCCGTAGTCACTATGTTCAGAGAGCTAGTGACTATAACAAAAGAAGAAGAAAAAAAAGAAAAGGTAAATGTAAAAAAAAAAAAAAAAAAGAAGAAAAGGAAGAGAAAGTACGACTACTTTACAATGTCTACAATTTATGAGAGAGAAGTATGTAAGAAGGTGAACTATTACTCTGTAACGATGTAAAAAAGAAGAAGAAGAAAAAATGAGAGAACAGGAACTTGAAGCTATGTGCTCGTTCAATAGATGAAAGCATAAGAGAAAGCGAGATCATCATTATGAATACACCTTAGGCTATGTATATGTGTATGTGTGCGTATAAAACATTTATTCAGTTGACCGATGATGCATTGTTTATAATATATGTATTTATTATCATATCAGTTGCTATTAATCGTTACGAACTCATCGAAAGATGAGTTATTTCTTCGTTCACTAATTATATGCTATTGCATCATTGACAACATTTTTTGTCTCTATTAATAACACTAGTTGATTTTTCTTCGAGATTTTACTACTACATTGTTTACTAAGAGGATCCGCTTAACGTAAAAACATGGAAATAAGGACATGTTCAAGTGTTAGTGTTTAACTTCCTCTACTAGACAAGCAAGTATTGAAGAGTATGATGAAAAGACTGGAGAAGAAAAGAATTCAATTATATGTTTGCCTTTGTCTCTCTCTCTCTCTCTCTCGCACACGCTTTTCCCTTGTGTAGTATGCGTGGTCTCTCTTGATATGTGTTAGTCATAAATTTTCTTCTATGATTATAATTAGTAACCATCGCCGGATTCAATAGAACAGAACATTGAATAAAAAGAGAGGGGTTAAATATAGTACATAGGGCATGTATTAAAGCTGTATATCAATGAAGAGAAAAAAAAATCATCTTGAGATTTCTTATTCGATCCCTATTTGCTATCAATGAAGTGACGATTAAACTAAGTGAATTAGCGAAATGCAGATGGTTATGAAATTATGGATGATGATTGTTTGACTGAAAGATGAAGAAGACGAGAAAAGCTTGTCTTACATCATCATCAAACTTACCCATTGATGACAAGCTCGTCCACATATGAATTAAATATTGAATTTTTTCTTTTATTTCGAAATTAGTTTGTTGATTACATTTAGTTAATTCATCAAAATGTTTCTGTCGTTCATTTAAGCCTAATTGAATTGTCTATGATCAAACAAATATTTATGACATAAATTTATTCTTTTTTTTTTCTTGTTATTATTTTACTTGATTATCCATTGTTTTAGATTCGTCTGTAAATTTTTTCAACCAGTCAATAAATGAATCTAATTCTACAACAAATCCACGTTGTTCTTCAAACCAATTTTCTAATTGAATACGCATTGTTATAATAGATGAAGCAAGCTATTAAATATATTCTACCAATGAGAGGAGAAAAAGATGATGATAGGAAAACTTACTGTTGTTAATTGATCAATTAATGACTGACTTATTTCGTCTGTTGTTTTATGATCAAGTAAATTATTTAAACGATTCATTTCGTCTTCACATTTCTTTAAAAAAGAATTATGATTTTTAATATTATTTTTTTTTAATCAAAAATCTAACTTTAATTTCAGACAAAAGTTGATCATTATCAGATAAAGTGTTAATATTGATTTTTTCTTGTTGATTAATTAATTGTGTACCTAATGTTAACAAATTTTCAATAGAATTAACTAAATTTTCATTTTCTTTTGTTAAACTATTCGAAGTTTGTGGAGTCATTAAATTATCTGATTCGAACGATGAATTTCTAAGAAAAAAAATATATATTATTATTAAATTTCAATAATAATAGTAATCATCGAAAAATTTATCAAGATGTTGTTTTTTATAAGATTATAGAAATATATCAATTTGTATATAATAAAATTATTTAGATTGAAAAAAAAAAGATTCATATTAAATTAACCTTTCATTAAGTGCATTTAATCTGTCAAGAAGAATTTCCCATTGTTCTTTGATGTTAATAATTTCATTTATCATTTCTTGTGCTTGTGTATCAGGCAAATCTACAGCCATTATTTGATTGAGTATTGTAACTCGTTTTAATAATGATTCATACTTGTTTAATTCATCAAGATTCTATTCAATAGAAAAATAAATAATAATAAAGAAAAACGAAGAAATTTATTTGTTCAATCGTGAATAAAAAATAAGTTGACTCGTGAATATTGATAATGACATTAATATTAATATATCTACTACTACTATTGATAGTTACAACAAATTATAAATTCTTTATGGTAAAGATACAATCTTTTGATTGGAAGATTTTGTTTTTCCTCGAAGAAAAATATCCAAAGTATTCTTATTTGAAGATAATTATTGTTGCAATTAAAATAATTTCAAAGATACAATTATTCAGATTAAGGAAACTCTCTAGTAAATGATGGTGTAAAGCCTAGAAAAAAAAAAACACAAACACTCATTTACTATTCTCGTATATAAAAGTCATAGACAGTTTGTTGTTATTTTAGTATATAAAAACAAAAAAATAACTATGTTATTTATTTATTGATACAAATTTCATCTTCTATTCAATTTTTCAAACCATAAATGAACGAAATTCATTTTAAAAATAATAATATAGAGTATTTTTTTTCTCAATGTTTCATCAGTTTTATGTTTTTCATTAGCTAATGCAACAGAAAGAAAATTATATTTATCAATTAAAATTCGAAAAATTTCTTAATTTTGATGACCGATGAAACAAAAAAAAGAATATCAAAACAAATTTGTTCATCTCACATTATTTTTTTTTGTACTATATTTATTTATCTATTCTTTCGTTCTATTCTTATTGTCTATCGTAGAACAAAGTCTTTCAATAATAAAAATAACAAAAAGAAACGAGATTGATCCAATATATATTTGCAACAAACTAATATGCTTTTCTGCAAGATCAATCTTGTCTTATTTTTCTCAATAATCCATACTTTAATTATACATAATGTTTGTTGTTTATTGACTGATTGTAAGACTTGTTGAATATTAGCATTTGTTGATGTCAACCAAACAGATAAATCTTCTATTGATTGTTTGTATTCCTTAAAAATGGCTGTATTAGCCATTGTAAGATTATAATGTTTTTTATAGTCATTACACAGACATAAATATTCGTTAGACAGATGTTTGACAAGCGTTGATGTCGGGTCCAATTGACTTGCTGTCTCAACAGCTGGTGTAAGACTGATAATAGTATCTTTTATAGCCTATAAAATACAAATATTCTAATATAACATCTATTAACAATAAAAAGAAAGATATGATACTATATGAACGATTTCCCTCATCCTTTTATTATGCTTTTTTTTTCTTCATCATGTTTTTTTTTGTTCTCACCCTAAGGGCTGAAGAAAAGAATGAAGTTCTTCTTTTCTAATAGAAATCGAGCACACAATGGCTACTATATTTTAACTTATATACGCGTGAGTGTTTAGGGAACAATCAATTATAGAGGAAAAAAAAACTACAATTTATAAACTATCACGGAATACACAAATGATAGATTATATAAAATATGGATAGTGGAAAAATTTATTAGACATTTTGATCGTAATAATAAAAATGTTTTTCTGACCTTTTTATATTATATAAGAAAAATTTTATATTAATAAATTTTTGTGTTTATTTGATATATTTAAATAAGTTTATAACAATTAATCTTATACTATTTTGTGTATGTAAAATTTTTCTTTTTCTAAAAAAGTAATTAATTCTCTTATCGTGCTTGTCAATTAAACTTTGATAATAATGAAATTTAGAACGAAATAATTTCTGATAGTAAAAGTTACTTTTTTTTTTTCTGCATTTAATATAGAAAATAATTAAATTATATTTTCTATTACATACTTTAAGTTTTCTAATTGATTCTTCAGTTTGTATTGATGTATTTGGTTGAATATCAGTAAGACTTGATAAATATTTACGTAAAGTTGATATAGATGATAATAATTTTTGAATACATAGGATAAAATCAAAAGATTTATCTTGTGTTTGCTTCATATCGTAGTACTCTTAGGATATAAACAGGAAAAATGAGAATGACAATTAGTAAGACAAAGCTATGAAAGATTTTCCCTATTTAAAGTGATAAGAGCAACAATAAACGACGTAAATAGACACAAGCAGTTGCTCTAGGTCTGATTATCTCAATAGTATAAAAAAACTAACCAATATGACATGGTTGATGTTATATCTGCATGAAAAACTATGGGTTAATTGTTTTTATAGTACATATGTTGTATTGATCAGTCTTTTCTTTTTTTTTCCTCTATAGATATGTTATCTACTACGTAGTATTAACGCTTATGCTTTATTCGATCTTTTAGTATTCTCAACAGCATATGACTCTTTTTTGTTTTTTTTTGTCTATAATAAATAAACGACATACGCATGTTATATTATCATTAGAGTGAATAAATTGATTTTATCCTTGATTCATATAGAAGAACCAGGTGTAATCATAATGTTTTATTTCCTTGTAGCAAATACTTATATATTTTATTAAAGAGAATGAGGAAAAAAAGAAAAAAAAAACGAATCGTACTAGTAAAAAGTTCTGAACAAATGAAGAAATAGAGTGTTTGTTTTTTTTGTTAATATTCAATAAAAGAACCACTGCGCATTAACACCGACATTTAAAAATTAGTCGAAAAAAAAAAAGAAGAAAAAAGAAAAGAACGCATGTGTACGCACAGCAAACATAGTTTTTTCTTTCTACTAGTAGAATATATAGATAGGATGAACTCTCTTTTGTTTTTTTTCTTAATAAACAATACGTGTTGGATGTGGTCCAACATTTTGAGCTGCATAAGGTTGTTGACGATAACTACTAGATCGTCCACCACTACTTCCTCCTCCTTGTTGTTGTTCATTATAAAAGTATGTCGGATATTGTTCTTGTCTATAACCATTAGCTTGACGATAACTAGATGAAGTACCACTTGTAGTATTTGATGTTTCATAACGAACAGGTAATGATCGATTAAGTGTTTGTGTTTGTGTTTGTGTTTTTCCATATGTACCAGCTGAATTCATTTGCATTGCACCAGTTGATTCTTGTTGTTGTTGTTGTCGATGAGAATCACCACGTGATGCACTACGTTCAGCTACATGTCGATCAATAACACGTTCACGATACATAACTGGTTGTTGAGAAATACAATTTTGTACTACACATCCTTGTACAGGAAAACCACCATTTGGCATACTAGCAGATTTTGCTATTGATCCATGATGACAAGTATCATGATATCCTTGTTGATTCATATATTGTTTTCTATAATAAGCATTTGGACGTTCATATGAACGATAACGTGTTTGTAATACAGGTGATGATGGTGCACTTAATGTATGATGATCAATAGCTTTTAAACTACGTACACGTAATAATGGTTGTAAATGATATTCTTCATTTATTGGAACATATCGAGATTGATCATCAGTTTTATAACGATCAAGTGAATGAACGGCTTTACGATATTTAGCATATTGTTGTGTTGGTTCACTTAAAATTGAACGTGTATCATCAATATCATAAATAAAATCGGAATCGAATTCCTGCATTGAAGAATAAAAACAAATATAAAGATTTAAAATTTGTATGTAGAAAAGAAAAAAGTCACATGAATATGTTAACAAAACAAACATTTATATTGAGATTAGATACTTCGAGTTCTTTTGTAGGCAAATATTTAAAAGAACAAGGACAATATCAAAAGAACTTTATTTGGTCAAATCTATTCAATAAAGATATAACATGTACATATTCTTTTTCTTTTCATATATGTCAGTATAATTAAAAGATTTTATATTTTTGAATATATATGAAAAGATAAGAACAATGATTTTAATTTCCTCATTATATCGTTCTCTCTAAGTAAAGATATTGAAATATATTTATTGGAATTAGTTTGCAAGATTTATTTTGTTTTATAATATGATGAATATCTTATTTCTTACATATACAGTTTGTGTTTATGTAAGTACATTGGATGAATGTAAAGTTTTGCTTTTCTTTTTGATAAAAATAGTTATGTACATATGATTTTTTTAACATCTAACATTTAATTATTAAAATAATTTGTTATTCTTTTTAGTGTACTCAAAAAGTGAGTACACTACTAAAATCGGTCTGTGTGTCCGTCCGGCCGTCCGGCCGTTTACACGATAACTTTCGAAAGGAGAGTCAGATTGCGATGAAATTTTCTACACAGCTTAGTCTTGACAATATCTCGGTCGAGTTCGAAGATGAGAAGGATCCGCCAAGAAATGGCTGAGTTATCGAAAAAATTGTGATTTTTGACCAGACCATCCCTGAGGGGGAGTACAGGGATTTTTTCAAAAAAAAATTTTTTTTCTCAGAATTATTCACAACATATATAAATCGACTCAGTTTTTAACGCTGATTCTGAATCTGATATTAGTTTTGAACCGAATCATAGTTTTGTGTACTCAAAAAGTGAGTACACTATAGAATAGTCAGTGTGTCCGTCCGTCCGGTTGGCTGTTTACATGATAACTTTTGACAGCAGAGTCAGATTGTGATGAAACTTTCTACACAGCTTAGTCTTGACAATACCTCGGTCGAGTTCGAAGATGAGAAAGACCGGTCGAGCCGTTCCTGAGTTATTGCAAAAATACTCATTTTTCCCTATAGCTTTCTGTGGAAAAATGGACCCATCGCGACTTTCGTAAAAGACTTTTCCTATCATAGTCAATTAAAACCCCAACTATTATATACCATTCGATAGAGAATTTCAAGAACTACAAAATGATATATAAAACATAAAGAAACAAGAACGTTGACTAACCTATCACAAAGATAATTAAAGAGAACTAGGTTATATTTTGGTCCACGATCTAATTGATCCACAAATAGAGCTTTATCTTCCGGTCACACTGATGATACTTCGAGGTTTTCAGATATGGAGAACTCGAATGTGTACTGCACTTCCATCGAAATACTATTAGTTGTGCAGTGACCAATAGAAATGAAGTTATAGGAAAAACGACTTTCTTAGGGTAAATCAAGGTGCAGAGTTCAAACTTGAGCTGTATTCGGTCCCATGTCCTATTGGTTTGGCAACGCACAATATAAATCAACATTTTAAATGGTAGATTTCACAGTATAATTTTGATATTCAGACAGTCTAGGATGATTGATTTTTATGATTCACTTTTTGAAGTACACATAACTCTCGGATTTAAATCCGAAGTTTCCGCATTTATTTTTTTTATAAATGATCGATATGAAATATTTAAGACCTTGAAGTAATCTAAATATCTTTTTATTTTGTTATTGTTGTTATTGTCTAGATCCACTTTTAAGATATGATATATGATACAAAATGAAGGATATTAATAATCCATTGTCTTTATAAGAATATATTTCGGTGAAAAATGGTTTCTTTCTAACATCCTTGAATGATAACAAGGCCAATATTTCGCTTGTCATAATATCAACACTTTATATATAATATTTATAGTTTAGATTTTTTTTTTGTTCGATGAAAAATATAAAACATTCTGTTTAAATACAAATATCATTACATATCTATGAATAGTTTATAAATTCCTTCACGTTCAGTGAAAATATTTCGATAATTTTTCTTATCTCTAATTTTATTAAACTTTCTCATATACAGAATAAATTGTATTTAGTCGATTGTTTGTAAAAGACATCTTGAAGAACTTAAGAGTAGGATTATCAGAATTTTCGTTCTCAACAAACAGGCACTGAATAGTTACATTGTTTGACACGTATTCATAAGATATTTCAGTGCTACAGCTAGTCACAATTGTAAGGGAGATATCGAGCTATTGAATCTAACATTGTATATATATAGAAGTGTTCACACTTGAGATGTACGAGATTAAATTTTGTTGGTACCGATCTCAGTGGACGGGATCGAAATTATTTGAAATAATTATGTATTTAGAATTTTTAAGAATGGAAACTTATGTTGTATTTCTATTTTTATGAATGACATACGAAAGTGATATTATCTAGTTAAGAGAATATATTACTGATGTTTATGATTATGATTTATCATACCCGTTCTTTTGGTACTGTTCTATCTGTTGTTTGAACACGTTCTTCAAATCGTTCATTATATCGAAGAATTTCATCATTATTTTGATATTGATTTGAACGATATTTAAGATTTTCTAAACAATCCTATATAAATATAAAATAAATATTTTTTATTAATAAATCTCTATATTATGTATTACTCGTAATCGACGAATTTTTTCTCTTATACGATTAGCTTGTTCAACATCAGTTTTTTCAATAACATAAGCACGTTCTTCTGTTTCACGTATAATTTTTTCTATTTCTTCATATTCTGGACGTTCACGAAGTGTTCGTTCCTATAATAAATAAAATATTTTATATATTGACTATTTTCAATTATGTTTTAATAATAAAAAAAAAAAAAAAAAAAAATTAATTACATACTCGTCTAGATAATCGTCGATGTATTGTTTCAGAATCTTCATCACTTTCTGGTTGATTTTCATATAAACGTTCAATTAATTTCATATAAGCCAAACAACGTAAATATTTCTTTTTAAATTCTTCATCAATAACACCATGTGTTGTACTTATATCCGATGATTCTGATGGTGAACGATGACGAGATTCACGTTGAAAACGATTATATCTTTTTTCTGAATAATATTCTCGATGTGTATCATCACGATGATCATCTTGAATATTATTTGCTGCAGTTGTTGTTGTTGTTGCTGTTGTTGTTGCTGCTGCTGTTGTTGTTTGTTGTTCTCTTAAACGTTTTTCTTGTGCATCCTAAAAATAAGAATTATATTTATATAAATAGAAAATTAAAATTAATAAATTAACCTGAATAATTCGAATACGACGTTGTAAATCTTCAAATTTTCGTGTTATATTTTCAATATCAGGTGCAACAAGTTTGCTATATTTTTCACTTTTTGATACAAGCTCTTGACCAAGATGAAGTAATTCATCAAGTTGTGTTCGAACACTACGTAATTCATCTTGAACTTGCTGAAAACAAAAACACATAGATTATTAAATTTTATTATAATTTTCAAAAGAGATCTATCAGATAAGATGATTATCCTTCATTGGAAAAAAACATCTATATCGTTCTTTAGGGCAACTCGCGATGCATTGAATGATATATTGGAAATAGTTTTTTAATCAAGTTTTAATATTCTAAAAAGCCAATTACCAGTTAAGAGATATTATATCAATTGTGAATGATACGATCGGATGTTAGGACACGATATCTAATAATATTTGTCATAGTATTTTTTTTTTGACTTTTAAAATGTTTTAAATTTTCTTGATATTGCTTTTTAGATCGTATTTTGAGTGAATAACATTTCTATCTATGAATAATAAGTTCACCATACTCTGTTATTTGACGTAGATGAGTTTGAACTACTGGATGGGGGGAAAGTATTGGAATGGGTTGTTACAAAGATTAATTTTTATTTTATTTTGCTCCTTAAAAATTTAGATTTTAAATAGCCGAGTATGATTAGAGTCTCGAGCTCTATTAGATTCAACATATATTCGATCTCTTATGAGAATTAAAAGTTTTATATATTCTCATAAATTTCTTCAGAGACTCGAAAGCCAAAGTTTTTTTTTTTTTTTGTCATTTTCGCAAGATCCATATATGTCAAATGACACGGCATGATGAACTTATTATTAATAAATAGAAAATTTTCTCTGTCAGAAAGTATTTGTTGCAAAATTCAAGTACTCTTCTTGTCCTTAGCAATAGAAAAATGAATAGTTTTTAGGTATTGATTGGCCGATTTGACCATCACACATATCATTTTAAAAAACAATCAATTGATATACTAATAGAGCGTGGTGGCATATTACTTCTAAAAAAGCTCCATGGTTCGTCGCCTTTGTCCTAAGAAGCAATATCGAACAATTTAAAACATCATAAAAGTCAAAAAATTACAGAAACTAGTAAATATACTAAAGTTTTCGATATGAAGAAACCTATTGTTAGATAAAGACAATAAAAGACTAGACAAAATTTCATTGAAATAGATTGAAATTAACTTTGACATACATTGACTTGAAAACATACTGATTTCCAATGAGAAAATAAAAATTTGATGAAAGACTAATTTCCTATATGCCATTCGAAATGCCACGAGTTGTTATGCACGACAATATAGATGGATTTTCAAATGAAGGTTGATTATCTTATCCGACAGAATGTTTTTATTTTATATTTCTACTAACCGAAATTCTATTTAAATCAAGAATACGTTCAGCATCTGATAATAATGTTTCTAATTTTTCCAAACGTATAATTATTTCTTGATAAATATGAATAAACTTTTGATAGTCATCTTCTAATTTACGTACTTGAGCCTAAATAAGAAGAAGAAAAAAAAACATAATTTTTTATATCTAATTTTATTAAATTATTATCATTTATTTTATATTCAGAGAAAAAATTAATCAATTCATACTTAAATAATAATAATAATAAAAATACCTGACGTAAACCAATAGGATATATAATATATTCAATAGGGGCAAGATTTGTTGATGATGTCGATATACCTGATGATGCATTATGTCCAGATCCAAACGGAATATAAAGTAAATTATGATAACGATGTGATGGTTCAGAATGTGATGACGTCGAACGTTTGACGTCACTCCTCATTCTGTCTTAGTCTTTTTTCTTATTCTGAAGATGACACTGGATATAGAACAATATTAATAATAATAATAAAATGAAAAGAAAAACAAATAGCCGCACTACCAAATACTTTAGCTTCGAAGCACCTATATATATCTGTTGTCCTCATCTTGCTTCGCTATTCATTGACGTTGATAATTATAGATAGAAAAGAGAGATATCTATTTAGGTCGTTCATGTATATATATATATATATATATCTATCTATATATGTAAGACAAACAGAAACTGATTGATGACAATGATGATGAAGTCCACACGTTAGAACACAGGATATGAAGAGAATGTTCTAGGATTTTTTTTTTCTCTCAACAGAAATTTGTTGATTAGTACGATGGATGAGGTGGAGTTTTAGAAAATACTCGATATAATTAGCATGATAGCTTCGAAGTTAGATCTCTACCAGTCAGTATATTATAATGTCTACAAATTATTATCCTCTTCTTTAATAATAATAATAATAATAATAATAATAATAAAACATCTCAGAATACGTAGGAAGAAAATGTACATTAGTTGTATGTAAGAAAGAAACGAAGACAGTAATATTTTTGGAAGGCTAACACAGACAGTACGTGTGGTTTTTTTGTTTTCTACGTTGGCACTAATAGATAGAAGTCACTGACAAAAAAAAAATGCCAGGAAGAAAAGAACGCACAAACGAATGTATTATTAAGCGAGAAAAAATAAAGAAAACTACGAACAACGATGTAAAAATGGTACAAAGAAAATAGAACGACTTCTTTGAGATAACACAAATGCGCAAGCTTACGCCCGCTGTGTTCTTCATCCGTCAATGAGTGACATGCGCAGACGTATATACATACAAACTAATTTCCTCTATACTCGGCGCTAAGTTTAATTATACTGAAGGGTGCATCTTAGTCGACGTTCGAACGCATGTAATAATCGTCTCGTCTTTATTTTTCTTTTTATGCTTACAAATAAATCATCTAATATGATCGATTGGATACTTCCTTTTATTTCTGTTTCTCTCGATCTTATAATTATGCCAATATAAAAAAAAGAAAAAGAAAACTCGTCATGTAAATCAAGATTGATATAATAAGCAGCTGTTTTACTCATCTATTCACATCATGTTATCTAAGATAGACAATAAAGAATGATGAGTTAATTGTTGTAGGAAGGAATCGGTCAACTACATCATTATTAGATTATCAAAAGATCTTTTTCAACAAATCAAAGATCTATATAATTATAATACTATCACATATGGTCAGCACTTGCATCGATTACGTCAATAAATGCAAAATGTGTTATCCGAATTGATGACAACTGTATATTACATAATAGATTCTCTTATTTCTTTATATATATATATGTATATAATCCAATCATTTTATATAAGGTTATCCACTAGTATATAGGATATTATCTCAATGACATTGGCTTTTTTCTTTCTTTCTTTCTATTATCTAATAAGGAATGTCAAAAGAACTTGTCTTTACTTCAATTATTTCTAATCGATCTTTAAGTCGTCGATCTAATTGTTCAATTTGTCGTTTTAATTCCATGATTCTATCACGAATGCTATTTAATGGTCGATCAGTTTCTTTTTGTATTATACGTTCTAAATTTTTTAATGTTTCAAAATTATTTTCAAGTTTTTTAATATCATTTCGTGTAGTCTATTAAAAAAAAGAAGAAAAAGAACATATAGATATAATTCAATTTAAAATAATTAAAAAGAAAAAAAAGAAATTTACTCGAATCCAATCAATTTCTTCTTTGTTATTTTTTGATATTTGTTTATTTTCAATTTTACGTATTTCATTATCAGCTTTAACAAACCATTCATGAATATGTGTATATTCTTTACGAAATTTACGTAAATGACGTTCAACATTATCTAATTGAGCTTTCGATGCTGATACCTAAAATGATAAGAAAATAATGAAATAAATCTTTAATTACTTTTTCTCTTGTCTAACAATATTTTACTGAACAAGACAATTCATATAATAATCTTTGGATACTAACATCACATGATATTCTCAGATAACGTTTTCGAGCGATATTTAACAAACAAGATTAAAAAATAGATTATTTGGAAGAGCTCAAAATTTTCTGTGGATTCTTATTGTATAGATTTATTTGAATGAGCATATCAAATTTTAGTGTATGGCATAGTTCTTTGCTTTTAAACTTGTAACTTTTATACAAATGAAAAGGCTGACAACTTCAGTACCTTGAAAAATGATCATCTATTTATAGAAGTACTTAAGGTATACCAAAAGTTCTGGCCACAGCGTTTAAAGAATCTTTTCGAATAAGAGAACCTATTGAGAAATGAAAAACCAAATATAATATGTTGTAGAGTTTTTTGAGGTACGTCGAATGGTATATAATAAATCTTGTTTTCATAAAACATTGAAGAACCTAGAATCAATTTACTAATAGACGACTACACACCCACACTGGCAAGAGAACAGGAGATGCTAACATATAGGAGGCTGTAGCCCGTCAAAAACTCTACAAAAATCGTATGTCAGGAAAAATATTTTACAAATACTTTCAACTAATACCAAGAATCACAATATTCAGACACTGATCATACTTAGGTGTGAATGTGTAGTCGTCTATCAGTAAATTCCTTTAAGGGTCCCCACCCACTCAAAAACCGATCTCGGCCCAGATATGTTCAAATGGGCTGAAATTTGGAGCATATGTTGCGGCTGAAGTGAGGAGGCTGTGATAAAATTTTCAGCTCGATACTATGATGTTTGACAGAGATATGAACCAAACAAGGGACAAAAATAGCTCATTTTCTGTCCAAGATTTCTCGGTCCAGGCTCATGCTATATGTTTAATTTTTTTTTATTAGAAAGAGCATGTCAGGATGCAGGCACCACAGAGTTGTTTTTTTTAAATTCTTACTTTTTTAGCGGAAAAGGGGATCACAAGTTCAATGACTCAAAAAAAGCGCCAAAAATGGGTGTCTAGTTACATAAATGTCTGTATATATATATAATAAAAAATAAAGCTTAATTAAAAAAAGGACTCTGTGGTGCTCTGNAATATTTTTCCTGACATACGATTTTTGTAGAGTTTTTGACGGGCTACAGCCTCCTATATGTTAGCATCTCCTGTTCTCTTGCCAGTGTGGGTGTGTAGTCGTCTATTAGTAAATTGATTCTAGGTTCTTCAATGTTTTATGAAAACAAGATTTATTATATATCATTCGGTACGTTTCAAAAATCTTTACAACATTTTTTTCATTTCTCAGTAAGTTCCTTTCTCCGAAAACATCTTCTAAACGTCGTGACCAGAACTATTAGTATTCCCTAAGTATGATAATAAAAACGTGCATTACTCGTTCACAGGCTATTTCGAAAAAAAAACAATTGGCTACAATGAAGCTCCGTCAACGATTCTGAAATGCTCGAATAGAAAGAAACGAATAAAATTTGCCGTTTTTTTTTTCTGAAAAAAGAAATAATATGTCAAAAGAGAATCATATTGCTTGTAAGAGATGCGATCCTAATCTATCTTCCCATGCATTTATCTTAATATTGATAATTGTAACGTTAATGAACTATATGTAGTCTTATGGGAAGGATGCCATAGCTTAATGCTTACTTTAGATCCAAGAGTATTATATTGTGCTTTTAATTTATCCATTTGTCTTGTTAAATCATTTGGTTCATCAATTTGTTTTCTTTCAACAATTCCACGTCCTGTACGAATAACATATTCAACTTCAGATTTGATATCTGATAATGTTTTATAAAGTCTCTATTAAATAGAAAACAAAAAAATTATAAATTTCTTTTGTTGTAATTTAACTTACTAGACAATTTTCTAATTGATTATGAATAATATCAGGATCATCAGAATGAATTTCAAGTATATGAGTATTTTGTTCAACATCATTTAAAATTTGACGCATTTTTGCATGTTTTGGTTCAAAATCGGATGGTTTTTGAAAATTTCGAAATTTAGCTTGTAATTGTAAAAATTGATTCTTAAATATATAAAATGAATAATTAAGTATTAAAAAAAAATATTGATGATAAAATAATAAAGAAATTTACTCTTAATAAAATCAATTGTTGTTCAAGTCTTTTAGCAGCTTCAGTTTTTCCTGTACTTCTCAATACATGTACTTTATCATCTATACTACGTAAAAACGCTTCATATTGATTAAATTCAATAATTAATTTCTATAAAAAACAAAAAGAAATTTCGATTTTGAATAAGTTCTATATAATCATTACTTCAGCTTCTCCGGGTACATCATCTGCAAAAACATCATCTTTTAATCTAGCATGAAGTGTATTATCTGTATGTTTCATCCATTCAAACATTGCTGTTATTTGATGTCCCATATGTTGATAATCGGATATTTGTGAATTAAGTGTATGAATTTTTTTATAAGCCTAAAATTAAAATTTTTTTGTTTTTTGAATAATTTTAAAAAAATTTTTTTTTTATTTTATTTTTTACATCATCATGTAATTGTTCCCAACGAATACGAAATTGATTTATTAAACTATTCGTTGCTGGTAATGAAACTTTTGTTGCTTGAAGACGATCTGATATTTCGAAGATTTTATCATGACTACTTTTTGAATGTGTTTTAACAAAACGTTCAAGAGTCTAGAATAAAAACAAATGATTAAAAATTTCTATGAAAAAAAAATTTTTACGTCAAGTTCTTCGGAGATTTCTTCAGCATCAGCACCATCATTTGATGATGAAAAAACTTTATTTTGTAATGTATCAAGCCAAACATTTTCTTGATGAAGTAAATCTAAGAAGAAAATATTTTATTAATTAAAATATACAAAAAATTTTTATTGTTAAGTACTTTTTAAATCTTCATGTAATGCATAAATATCGTTATAAAAGCCAACTTTTGTATCAACTTTTTTTTGTAAATTAGACCAATTTGAAACAAGTGTTTCTAAACTTTGAGCTAATTCAGGTGCACCTGATAAATCTTGACGACCTTGAAGAACTAAATTTCGTACAATATTTTCTTTAAGATTCAGTTCTGTTTGAAGTTTCTAAAAATATGAAAGATAAATATTAAAAATAAGAAGTCAAAATTAATTTTTCTTTTACTTGATATTGCTCAAGTCGTTCACGAATTTGATCTTGATAAAAAATTGGTCCATCATCAGCTGGTGCTTCATGTTCTTTGTCCATAATCCAATCTTCTAATTCTTGTATGTCTTCATGTAAAACTTTATTACGTTTTAATGCATCCTAAAAAAACAAAATTTTATAGAATTTAGAACGATTTCAGAATTCTGTAGGTTCTGAATTCATGGAAATCTCAAATGTAAAAATTAATTCACATCATCATGCTTTGCGGTAATATTTTATATTCAGAAATTTGGGATATCCGCAATTCGACGAGAGACGGCAAACATGCAGTAGAATCTCTTCCGTACATATTCAAATATGGGTGTGACACTGAATGTAGTGAGAATCGAAGCCTACATCCTTCCTAAGCTCCAACTCATGAAGTCTGATCACTACTGAATGAATAAGATATAACAACTGCAATCAGACGATGATATATTTTTATGTTCATAATGATGAAACTTTTTATTTTGTCTATATAAGCGCGTATGTATAATTGTGATTTGTTTATTCATTAAGATGTAATATTTATAGATTTTATTTGTATTTATGTCGTCTTATTTAGCATGAGGTATTGTTTTTTGCACAATAAGATATTAGCATGAAAATAGGAGAAATTGATTTATGATATATGAAAAAGTAGACTTGAATAAGGATGTATTTTTTATTTTTATTCAGTGATTTTAATAGAATTATTTATGTTCAGTATATATTTTAGAATTTTCTAAGCAATATTTAATAACAATTGATGAGAACTAAGAACAAAATTGGCTAGCGTACTTGACAAAGACATAGTCATAACGATTTTTCGCATTTTAAACCTTTGAAACAATTTCTAAACATTGATTCTACACATTCACATACAAATTAGTTGACTATCAAATATTATTTTTTATGAAATAAGTTGTTTATATAGTATCTGAAACTCGATAAAACCTTTTGTTTTAATTATAGACGTGCAAAAACTCGCAAATGTTAATCTATTCGTCAATGTACTATGCTTTTATGAATTAAAAACGAAGACTTTCATTGGAGAATAATAGGAAATCGATACATCGAAATGTCGATGAGATGGCTATTAGCAGTTTAGCTTTATAAATTTAAATCTCATATGAAAATTTATGAATTCGACATCATACGTAATGCACTTATGAGAAAGTGATTTTATGATCTTTGTTTGCTCTACTGATTATTGAAAATAATACTCAAATTAAACAGTGGAAATAAATTTAACAATAACATAAGTTTGATTTTTTTTTCTATTATTTCAAGCACATAGTTCGAATACAAATATTGATTCTAATAGTCTATGGAATTTTCTATCTAAAACACTATGATACCAAGAGTTTCTAGATGAGTTATTTTTGTTGGAGCTTCTTTTAACAGCATCATTTTAAACAGCATTAAATTCTAAAGAAAATAATGGGTCGATGAATTTCTTACGACCTTTTCTAAAAAAAGTTAAAAGCATCTTAAAAAAACCGAGACAAAAAACGTTTTAGAAACCTTGCTATCAAAATTTATCTAGGAAATCTTGGCATGGAATGTTTTAGATAAGAAAATTCATTAGTTATTATAATCTACACTTAGATTCGAGTTAGTTGCTTAGCATTATAGAAATATATCAAAAATACGTTATTGTTAAATGTTTTTTCCATCATTTTATTTCTATATAAGAAAAGGTGAAAAATTCCTTCTACACATAAAGTTTAGAGTTTACATCGAACTCTGGTTCCGTGTTTAGTCTCAAGAATTATCTAACCAATTCTGAAATTGTCAAGTATTTAGATAATAATTCCAGCACTTTTTGAGCTATATGAACAACTCTGAAAGTATTCTAAGGTTCGATCCAGTTCGGATATTTCTGAATATCATTGACTTTCTTTTCCGATGCCGAAAACCCTTCAGTTTTCTTATGATTTATTTCAACTGTATGTAGATCGATTATAGCCAACCCTGAAATCATTTCTATTGGCTTACTTTTACATCGTTTTAATAATTAACTAAAAAATATCATCAATCAATATTAGACATATGTGGAGCCGTAGGCATGATAAGCTCCTGAGATCGAACCAGGACTACGAAAAAACTTGGTCTTACATAGGGGTGGCACTTTAACTTTAAAAAACTTAAAGTGCCTGTGCCATGGGTAAGAAACGACCATGCCCAGTTCCTGGGTCCTCGTCTAGCTACCCTAGCGGGGATACTTGAGTTCTCATATGGCTACCCTAGCAGAGGTACTCGGGTCCTCATATGCCTATCATAGGAGGGGTACTTGAGTCCTCATATGACTATCCTACTGGGGATACTTGGATCCTCAAGTGCTATACTATGGAGGTACCCTTAGGTCCTCAAGAGCTATACTATAGGGAAATCCTTAGGTCCTCAGGGCTTATACTATAGGTTATGGTATAGATTTTCAAGACCTAAGGATACCCCTATAGTATAGCACTTGAGGACCTAATGGTACCTCCATAGTATAGCTGTTGAGGATCTAAGGGTAATTCCATAGCATAGATGTTGAGGACCTAAGAGTACCTTTATATTATAGCACTTGAGAACCTAAGGATGCCTTCATAGTACAGCCCTTGAGGACTCAAAGGTACTCTTGTAGTACAGGCCTTGAGGATCTAAGGATACCCCTATAGTATAGCTCTTGAGGACCCAAGTACCCCGCCTAGGATAGCCATATGAGGACCCGAGTACCCCCGCTAGTGTATCCATATGAGGACCCAAGTACCCCCGCTAGGGTAGCGAGACGAGAACCCAAGAAGTGGGCATGGTCGTCCCTTACCTACGGCACGAGCACTTTAACTTTAACTTTTTTTAAAGTTAAAGTTTTAACGTGTTTCACTTTAATTAAAGTTCAAAGTGCCACTTCAACTTTAACTTTTAAAGCAAAGTTAAAGTGCCACCCCTAGTCTTACACACCTCTAGTCAAAATCGAATTGAATTCACCAAATCCGAATAGTTGGGGATTCGGTGCTACTCAAGGACATTTTTATGTATTTTTCTACATCTGCGACAGATGGTCTTAATTAATTTCATTAATAATTCTTATGCTTTATTTCTCATTGTGAGAATAAATCTCGATTCTTTTTTGTTGTTTGTCTAACCTGAATATTTTGTGAAAAAATTTTTGTTGAACTTATAATATGACTCCAACTTTCATTTAATTCTTTCATTTGTTCACGTAAATGTCGACCTAAATTTTCATCGGCATCTTGTGTTAAATCAACAACATCTTTATTTAAACGATTAATAGTTGTTTGCATTTCACGAATTTCATGTTGAAGAATCTTAAGTAAAAAAAGCAAAAGGAATATCTTTTTTTTTTGTTTAACAATTTCATATTAAGAATTTTACTTGACTACGACCAAGTTGATTTTCAAGTGCACGTGAATCAGTATAAGAAGAATCATTTGCATTTAAACGTGGTTGAACATTACGTATCCAAAGTCTAACTTCTTCAATACCTCTCTACAATTAAAAGAAAAAAAAAATATTTAAACAAAGAAAAACAGTTTTAAATATAATTTTACTTCAAAATCACTTAATGTTTTATCTGCTTGATTATATTTTGCTAAACGTTCACTTAAAAACATTTTAACATCATATAATCGATCTTGATAATTAGTTAATTCTTCTTGTAAACGTCGACTTATATCAATAGATAATTTAGAATAATATTCTCTTGCAATAACATTTAATTCTTCCATAATATGTTCTTGTTCTACTGTTTGATCAAATAAATCTTTATAAATTTTCTTTTTTGCATTAATTGTTTGTAAATCACCAAAACGAACTTTATCATTTAATAATGCTTGTTCAGTTTGTTCAAGCCATTGACGTAATTTACGTTGTGCATCAATAAAATTTGTTGGTAATGATACATTACTAATTATTGTCGGATTTCCAATATCATCTATTAAATTTAAACAAATATATTCTATTCTATTTCATTAAATGAATATTATTTGAATAAATATTCGATAAACTGATATATAAGATTCGAGTTCGGAAAGTTTTAAATCATGTACTAACTTGCGAATTCTAGCTATCGAACGACAAGAATTCCGATCATCTTTTTGTTTGATACCATATAACACAAAGTTATTTTAAGACTCCATTATTTAAACAAAAACCTTTTAAAATTTTTCTCTTATATAGTATCATACAAATACAGATCAGTAACTGTTACTAAATGAAGGAGTTTTCTCAAATAGAATCCAGTTTAAAATTAACATAAATGATTTTACATAAGAGTTCATTGAATCGAAGAGTTTTAGAACTTATAAGAGGAAGTTCTTCAACTAATAAATCACTTTGACTAGAGACTATATGCATTATATCTACTCAAATGAGTTATGAATATTCTGAAAAGAGTTTGTGCTCTTTGTTTATTTCTGTGGAGTTACTGTATATTTATGATATTTTATGAAACACGATCTAAAATGAGTATTAAAGTACATAGAATAGAAATATCCAATCCGGCACAGATCGTGACAGACGTTATTGATATACGATCACAGACTGTATATATCAATAACAACTCATTATAATATATAAACAATTTCCTTATTGTATTTCTCGATAATAAAGTAAAAGGAGAGTGAAAGAATGTGTCCCAATATAGAACGAATAAAATAATCTGGCTATGATTAACAACACCAGTTCCATCGTGTGTCATATTTTAATCCCACAGGAATTATGCGAACAGCTATTTTATATGAACATCATGGTCATTGGCAAGAGTGCTGGAATAATTTATTTCCGAATTACAACTTGAAACTATCAATAGAGACAAACCTTGATTAAAAAACAAAAAAGAAGATTTTTGTGAATATCTCAACTCTTGTCATTATTCCTATCCTAAGATAAAATTATGATAATAGCGTGTCTTTAATATCGCTCATATAAATCAGTAGATATTATGTTCTTATTTCAGAATAGATACTAATTAAAATATCTGAAATTACTTTTGTTAATAATTGTTTCTATGCAAAGTTTCAAGTCAAAATTCGAAAATCATTTTTTTCTGTTACTACAACATTAATTTATCAAAATAACGTAAATAAACAGTATCTCCTCGATAATAAACTAATAGCACAAATTCTTTTCAGGATATTAATAGATCTTTAGAATCTCCATAATGTACATTGTCTTGACTCAAAAGCAACTTATCTATTGAAAAACTTTTCTTGTCAATCAATTTTATTGTATATGAATTTTGAAAGATTTCTTATTGATTTGAATAAAAAAATTTTTTTCTTTTCTATGTCAATCAAAAGATTTTTCTGATAAACTTTCTAAATCCAAGTATCGATTCAGTATGAAAAAGTAATTTTTTACTTCTGAGACTTTTTACAACACATTACTACTATTATCATGTCTATAGATAAAAAAAACATTTAAGAGAAAAATGTTAGAACAGATTGTATCTATGTCTTCGATCGATCTTAATAACTATAACATATAGAAATGAAGGACGTTTGACAAATATGCAACAAAAGACTTTAGTCTTTGTCCCAATGATTTATAATAGACATAGTGAGAGACCAAAAAAAACGATGGAAGTAAATATTTGGAGGAATAAGAATATTGGCTATTAATTTCAAACATTTTTCTCCTTATCAATCAGATCGAACTCGAATCTTTGAATTTAATATATGTCTACTATTAAACTATATCTTTTATATCTCATATTGAATGTTTATTAAATATATTTTGACACCTCATATTAGTATCAATCAATATCTTCTTTTTTATATAGTATAAAAATTGAATTTTTATAATAAGCTATATTGAAATCCTTTTTTTTTTTTATTCAATGAAATTAAATTGCTAGACATATGTGTATTTTGAAACCTGAATATGCTTTTGAATTCGATTAATCCACTCAAAAGAAGAAAAAGAACAAGAATAACAATATACAAAGAAATTTCCCCTAGAGTAATAGACGAATGTTAAATAAATCAAACTTTCTCTTAGGTATAAATCAATAACCAAGCAGGGATAGTATGGGAAGCATTAAATGCAAAAGCATTAATATATCATACACTAAAAGCGTACTTGCTCATCTATATATATATATATATCGTATTATTTTTTAATACAAAATGAACTACCTGTTACGTATGTTGTTAAAGATGGATCTATTGTTTTATAATGATGATGAAAATTTGTTGAATCATAATCATGTGTATCATGAGTACTCGTGTGTATTTTTCGTTTTACAGATGATGAATATGTTTCATTATAGCTTCGATCGAATTCACTTTTTGATTCTGATGTTGGATCAAATACTTCAACAAAAGATTTTACACGATATTTATCTGATTGTGAATTTGGATTGACATTTCCATGATCACCAAATGTATAAATATTTGTTAAAGTAAAAACATTTCCACTTTCATTTGCGATTGGGCCAGTATTTGATGCAGTAGTCGTCGCTGATGATAATGGTTCACTCATGTCTGTATGAATTGGACTTGTTGCTGATGATGTGCCTGTACGACGAGATGAATTAACGCCAAAACCGGTAGTTCCGGCTGGCTGCTGCATAGATTCAATGCGTTTAATACGCTCACCTTATCAGACAAGAAAGAGATAGAGAGATAGAATAAAGATAAAACCACAACAATATCCAAGAACTAGAACTATCTCATATTACTCTCTAGAATAATAATGACCTAAAAGAGACAATCTGATAAAATGATATGTCTACGTGTTTATTAGAAAAACAAGAAACTATTTGGTCTTTCTTCCTCGTTCTATATTCTATTTTTTATTAGTAAACTTGGCGACACTTTGAGACATCGTCGTCATCGATGCGACATACAGACGAGCAAGTATGTATATTCGCATTGAAGAGTGACACAGATGAGATGGAGAGAGACACAGCAGAGAGAGAGAGAGAGAGAGACAAAGACAGAGAAAGCACTCTCCATCTTATTCTCTCTTTCTGTCTCCCTTTTTCTTTTTCTTACTCGCTCGCGTGCTAGAAAAAGGGTAAAAATTCAAGCAGCATCGATTGCACATGTACAGACACAGCGAGAACAAGACCAAATTTACTAACGATAAACTCATCGCTCGCTCGTCATATTGTACTTGTTCTTTTTTTTTTTTCTATGCTGTCGTCGCATACTACGGTATATGATCATGTATAACGTTGATAATTCCAACCATGACACATCGACGATATATATAGATGTGTATATATACTATTCATATAGTTTGATCAGTCTCGCACGTTCAACCCAAACTAAATTGTATTTGTATGGATGCTTTTATCCAATAATGGCAGAGAAAAGAAAAAGAATACAAGAAGGAAAAGAAGAAGAAGAAGAAGAAGGAGAAGAAAAACAATGTATTAATTTGAGAACGATAGGCTACTGGGTAGAACAGATAACCTCGCCATCTTCTTCTTTTTTTTTGTTTCGGTCAACCGTGTTGATAGTGACCTAAATGCGTGTGTACAAAATTGTAATGCCGTCCTCCTAATCAATGACAGATTTGCGTATGATATTAATGGCAGCAAAAAGCAGGATAAAAAGCATGAGCAGTAAGAGGAGAAAGGTGGTCAATAATGGGTAGTGATGAAATCATACACGATACAGTTAAAAAATGGAAGAAAAAAAAAACCAAAAACAATCATATTCCTACTTACGTAGTCGTGAATGTGTTTCATCCCATGAACGTAACAAATCATCTGTTCGTTGAAGAGCTTTTGCATCGATACGATTAGCCATACGTCGTAAATTTGCAAGACGTTCGTTATATGATTGAAAACTTTTTGATTTAACCTACGAAAAATTATATGTTTTTGGTTTTTTAAATAAATAAATAGAAAAATAAATATGATCAAGATTTTGTTAGTTTGATATAATAGACATTGATATAAGTAGAAATGCAAATAACTAACTATCGATAATGTTTACTCGTACTATAAAACACAATAATAAATTGTATTTATTAGTAGTACTATGAATAGAGAAGAAAAAAAAAAGATCATTATTGTCAAAGTAATTGATTGTATGTAACAAGAAAAAGTAAATGACAGAAGAGTGAAATAAAGAGTTGGTGTAAGTGTTCATTGACCAACAAAAACGTCACAATTTTTTTTTTCATTTACAAGTGATGTTTTATCGCTCATTTATTTCTAATCAATAAATGATGAAATGAATGAATAAATTATTGATTCATTAATTTTCTTTTTCGGGTTTTTTTTTTTTTTTTTCCTTATCTCAACGTTTTGTATGTATGTATACTGTTATACTACTCTTGTTGTCGATTAGAAGAAGACGATATACTCACTCAATCATTCATTCTATATTACTTATCTAAATGTATATATTGTATTAAAATACATGTTGATCCGAAAATAATCATTAGAGAAAATACTGTCACACCATTAAATTCTAATCTATAGAATATAAAAACAAAAGGGGTAACACCTGCTAATTATCACTCGATTTATTGATATATTATATGTAAATAATATTTTATCAAATTATATATTTTTATTGTATGATTAATTATACCTGTATTTCTATTGGTGAACTTGTTGATGATATTGAATCAATCCATGCTTTATATTCATTTATGGCTTTAGTAAGTGCTTGAAATTCTTCATCGAATTTTGATGTAACTACTAAATGTTCAGCTGTTCGTTCACAATTAATTATTTGTTTATAAAGTTCTTGCCATCGTCGTTCAAGTGCTTTTAATGATGATTCATGTTCAATTGAATCTAATTTTGCTTGAAAATAAAAATCGAAAAGTAGAAATTTTCTTATGAAAATAAAATAAATTACCATCTTTTAGTTGTTTTGTTATAATATTGCCTGTTTGCATTAAATTTTTAAATTGATCATCATATGATAAATATTTAGTTTTAACTTCCTAAAAAAAATATCATTATAAAATTTATTGAAATTATTTATTTGAAAAAAAAAAAATACTTGAACAATTTCTTGTACATCATTTCGATTTATACTATTTAATTGTCTATCATCTAATATTTTTTCAATACTATCTATCCAATCAATGAATTTTCTAGCTGATAAATCAAAATCTTGTTTCAATGTATTATCATTTGGAATTTTTCGTTGTTCAACTGTTGTTTCTTCAACTGTTGTTATTATTGTTTGTTGTATAGTATCAGTATCTGGTTTACTATTTCTTCTAACAATTGTTTCAATATTTATAGAAGATTTTTTTAACTAAGAAAAAAAACCCAAAAATAAAAAAAAAAAAATGTTTTTGTTTTCAATTAGAAACAAAAAAAATTAAAAAATATTTACACGTGCTGAACATTGTTCAAGATTATCAATTAATTTCGTCCAACGTTTTTCAAATGTATTTATTTGTTCATTTAAATTTTTTAATTCAATTGATGTTTTACTATCATAATGTGTACTTAACACTTTTAAACTATGATCTAATGCTAGAATTGATTGACGAATATCATCCATTTCTACTTCTGTTTTCTAGAAAAGTAAAAAAAACAAAAAACTTGAATGTTAATCCATTGATTTTTGAAATAATGAAAATTTTTATGAACATTATTAATCAATATACTTGCCTATGACTTAAAATTTTAATATTATTTTTTTCCATGTTCAAAAAAAAAAAAGCTGGGGGTAGGATCTAATAGAATCATTCATTGTTTTAAGAAAAAAGATGTTCTAAAAATGAAATCTTTTTCTTAATAATACTTTCTTGTATATAATAATATAGTCTAATCTCAAAACTCAGGATTCTATGTAGTATGTTCCTTCAAGTCATAATAATAAAAAAACTATAAATAAAGCTTGTTTGTTAAGTCTAGGCTATGCTGATGAAACAGTAAAATATATATTGAGTATTGTAACTATAATATTTGATTTCGTTTAAGTATGTGGCAATTGGCTCCAAGAAATTTTTCTAGCATGAGTAGACATGACTTACTAGGGAACATTCCCAGGTGTTGGAGCGATTTTTAGTCGAGACTTTGCGCATCATGTAGGTCTTGATGAATTATGTCTACCGTAAAAAAAGTTCGTGCCCCTAGCTTGTTCCTAGTGAGATGTCGAGGTTTTAGTGAATTTTTCCTATAAGACCCCACATTTGCAGCAAGGTCATATTTTTGAATTTTGATCTGAAACTATACCCTCATAAACCTCTCATCTAGACTAGTTT